ATCTTTCCTGTAGTATTTTTTCCCAACTTTCACGTGGATTTCTCCCCAAACTGAGACAATGTGTATCAGTGCCATCTGTTGACTCCAAGTAATATTGCTTCATTGCTTTAATAGCTATGGGAAAGAACATTTGATGATACAAATTTGTGCAGAATGCAAAAGCAGGGATGAAATAAAATTACATGGAATGTATATATATAATTTTGAAAAGGTACAGGAGAAATTTGTGCAGCAGGAAAACAAAAGAAGTCTTTCAATAAGAGATGCTTCCTGGTGTAAATTAAAATAAGTTTTGCACAATTAATGTGTTTTTACTGATCATTTGGCAATCAAGTCCCCAGTGTAATGGCACAAGAAACTAACAGCAAGTACATATCAGGTGCCAAGGCATTTTCCTGCTCTCCAAAACCAATTAAATATTTATGCCCAAGTGCTCACTAAATCTGGGCTAAGATGTTTTACTTCTCCTAGGATCAATCTTACTAGAGGTAATAGTTTCAGTTGTTAAGTTCCTTCAGAAGAAATTCGGAGCCCAGTAAACAACAACCAAATGAATTCTGACTTCCCATAAAATCTCCTGAAATGTGAGGTCTGAACAGAGCTAAGGGTATCTCTCTGAAATATGTCCAAAGGAGAAAGCAAATTCTACTTTTTTAAATTACTGTATATTTTTTCTGTATTTTTAGAGCTTTTCGCACTTGTTTGTGTGGCTAGAAAACATCTAAAGTGTCATTAAAACAAAAGGAAGATAGTACTAATCTGTTTCCAGTATGTCCTTAGATGCCTTTATGTCCAACCTAGTTTGCAAGTTAGTATATTGTAGGGAACAAACCAAAACCAATGGGTAAATCGGGGTATTAAGAACGGAATGAGTCTTTACGCTGAACAGTTAGAGATTTTAATGAAACTTTCAAAGAAATAAATACAGCCACTTTTAAATTGTCCTCTCCCAGGCTGCATTTTGACTATGTAAGCACACTGTACAGTACTGTAATTGGTTAAAAGGGATAGGAAATTTCTAATAGGACATTGAAATAGAAGGTTCATAACAAAAATAAACTCTAGCATTCCCAAGCACTGCCAAAAAAAAAAAAAAAAGAAAGAAAAAAAAAAGAAAGAGAGAGAGAGGAAAAAGGAAAGCAGTGCTTTGCTTTTTTGACTAGGAAGAAATATGGAAAAAAAGTGCAGCAAAGTCTAGAAAAAGAATGTCCTGAGAAGTGGGACTGACAATGAGCTTTTGACTGACTGCCCAGAGCTGTGACTCTGTCTTTTCTGTTGCTTGGCAACTCCATGTTATCACAAAGAAACTGACATTAAGTTGGAACAGACTGGATATGGTAATTTACGTGGGAAGATACTCTTGCAGTGGGAAAACCATTTTATTTCTAGTTTCTGTCAGCGTAAGTAGGTTTCACATGATGAACTGTAGTACATCCCCTGTTGGGTGCATTTTACCTAAAAAGGTAAAGAGTGACTGCCTTGGAAAAAGACTGTGCAGAAAAAAACCCCAAAACCAACAAAAATCCCCACCTTGTTATTCATTAGACCTGCTCCTAGTGTCTACTCAGACATTTCTTCTAGTGGTAGTGACAAACACTTGTTTTCGTATCTGTGTGGATTCAGTGCAGATTGGAGATGGAACTTGATCATTATCATTTATACTATTACATTCCCTAAGAACTCTTGAGATTTGCCTAAGACTTCACTGTCTTATATAAACATTAAAAAAAGATCCTCATTTTATCTAATAGTCCTTTCTTTTGCATTGGCAGTAGTTAAGTACTCAATTTCAATTGCACTTTATTTTTGATTTGTTGAAAGAGGAGGCTGCATGTGCAGCAGTTATAGAATAACTTGAAGACTGTGATGGAAGTAATGGCAAGAATATGTATGTAGAGCAAATATTTTTGTGAAAGCTTTGAGCCGTAAGAGATCTGTAATCCATAATAATTTTTTTGTGTTTGGGTTTAGCTCTAATGTTTAATTAGAAAAAGAGAAAGCATAGATTACTTAGGATTTAATGCACAGCCCTTTTTTCTTAAATATCTGGCTTACTCATACTGAACCACCACCACTGTCTCTCCGCATTTCCATACTGCATCATTTCTAGTAATTTAACACCATCATGCAGTCCTACAAGTAAGGAAGCACTTCACATGTCTTCAGGACTCCTTGTTCTGGCTTTGGTCAGCAAAACACTTCCTGGCTCCGGGCTTCTCTCTATTGCAGAGTTAACTTGAAAAATAACTCAGCTTTGCCCTTGGCTCAAATCCCAACCATACACAAAAGCTTCTGACTTGAGTATGGTGATGCTGTTCAGCTGAAGGGATTGGCCTGGACTGTCAGGCACAGCCAGCATCTTCAATTAGCATAGCTAATACAGCTACCCGCTCCTGCTTCAAGGACTTGCCTTCATTGCCAAAAAAGGTGTATTTTTACTGTGGGATAATTAGCCTGATTTAACTATCCTTATTTAAAATCAAGGCCTCCATGTGTTTTCTTACAGTGAAGACAGTGCTCCCTATTAACTCAGAGTGTTCCCTTTTGCTGATATTAGGTTAACTGAAGAGGAATTAATTCTGCAATGAAAAGAGCCCACAATGTCTTAGACATCAAATAGACCCAGAGACTGCAAGCAAAGTCCTTCTCTGTATACTGAGTCATGGTGGGGAGGTAGCTTCCTTGTTCACTTTTCATTTGGCCAGATACAAAATGTATCAGCTTGTATTCTGTCTACAAAACTAATGAGATTGTCTCCTTTTTTATTTACAACATCACCTCCAATAAATCCAAAAATGCTCTAGGCTGTTACCTGACTTGGAGGGGAATAATTGTTGTACTGACTCAAGCAGCAAGCCTGGCTTAATTGAAACACAGCGTATTTCCCAATAAGGTTGTGACCAATTTTATTCTGACTGCAACCTAAAACAACTTTACAACAGAATGGAACAGATCAACTTTTATTTACCTTGAAGCTTTCGATACTTTGAAACTGAATTCCTCTGCTAAATCATGGAGAACTGATTTCCTACATCCCCTTACCACTAAGCAGTTAGTGACTAACTCTACTCACTGTAACTATAGTCTTCCAAGCTAACTGCTGACAAATACCATCTGTTTCTTAAGCCCTGGCATTAGAGTAACACAGAGCTTGCAGACAGTCTTCCACACCTTGTGTTTATTGCATTAGCTCATGCCTGCTGTAGAGTGTTTTCTATGCCAAGTAGCAGCAACCTCTGGCTTGTGGGCCATGCTAGACTAAGGGCAGCAAAACTGTAACACCTCCTCTGTGTGGCAAAAAAACCCCTCTACACTTTCTATCATCTGGAGTTGAGTTTGGTTTTATTTCAGTGTTCTTCAGAGAGCTTGGTCACTAAGACCTTTATTAAGAAAAAACATACAAACTGCTTCCTATAGCACCTGTATTTTCTGTATGCAGTGCTCCTCACCAGTGAGGAAAATTTGCTGATTTTTTTAAAAAAATTCTTGAGTTCTGATGAAAAAGGAAAAAATAAGGGTACAAATGCAAGGAGTGGTTAGGAGTAAACAACCAGCACCTTTCAGGAGTACACTGACCACAGGAGGGAGCAAAGCTCCGGGGAGAAATGCTGTGGGCACAAACCAAGGCAAGGGATCCCTCCCATTACGGCCAAGAGGAGCTCTCCAAGAGGGATGCTGGGAGCCAAGAGGAGTTCCCAGAACCGAGGAAGTTCCCATCTTGCCCACCATGGCTATTAGCACCTGCAATTATTTTCATCAAATCATAGTCTCGGAGAGTGTCTAAAGGACCATGGGTGTAAGAAGAGGAGTTTAAACATCTTTGTTCCCAGCACTACCCAAGTGTCCCATATAAGACTAGATGACTCGGTGGGTGAGGTATATAGCTATTTTATTTCATAGCTGTCTTATCTTTCATTTTTATTTCATAGCTGTCTCAGGTTTGTGATGACTGTAGGACTGAATTCCATTAAAAATTAAACCAGAATCACAAGCACTGTTATTGGCTCATATTAATATTATGAAGTTAACTCTTTCAAGTAGTTTCTTTAGTTACAGCTGCTTGTTGATTTGCAAGGATTGGTACAGAAATGAACTGGAAAGCAAATTAAAATAAGAAATAGTAAGAGTAAGTTAACCTTGGTTTTGTTTGTGGTAGTGTTATCAACTCTGAAAATATAGTTTTCCTCCGCCAAGGTGCAGGAGACAGAAGAACCACAGAACCATGGAAGCTGTAGGTGAATAAACAGACGTGTTAAGCCAAGGTACAAAAGTGATTTTTTTGTGCCTGGAATTCAAAATTAATTTACAGACTGGAGAGCCAAGAGGTATGGAGTTAGGAATGTAATAGATTTGAATTTTAGGTACTAAAATACCAGTAAATCAAAAGACGACAAAGTATTCAAATCTTCTAAAAGTAGAAAAAACCAACACCCCACAAACAAAAATATCAGCAGAAACCTTTGCCCCCTCCAAGAACACTGAGTATGACTCATGGTTTTGTGAATTTTGATGGGTGGAGGTACAAAAACTGTTCTATCCACTACTGACAGATGGTAGGATTCTTGGTTTTAAAAATATGAAAACAGCTTGATCTCATGTACCTTGGTTTAAAAATAAAGCTTTTTTTATAGCATGTCTCAATTTTGACAACCTCACTGAGCCATAAATATTCAATTCCATGTATAAGCACATTTTAAAAGCCTAAACTAGACTTTTATTTTAGAGGTAGGCTGATCCTCTGAGTTTGTGAAGTCCTCAGGAAAAGGAGTCACAGCTGAACATAATGGCTCTTTGTGTTTAACTCCAAAGTTTGAGTTGTTTGTGGGTTCATCTTTGAATTTAAAAATCCATTTCCTTGTTTGGTAACTTTCTTAAATTTATTTAAAAAATGTGGGAATACCAAATTATCCATCTTTTTGTGATTGTAAGCCTAGAATAAATCTGCAGGAGTGAAATGCAATTGAATGTGTAAGTAACATGATTTCTTCTTAATGTTGCAGAGCACAGATAACTCAAATGTATCTATAATTGCTCAAAACAAAAAGTGCTTTGACAATGATATTGTTTGCTCAAAGAATGTTTTCATCACTGTTGGAGACACTGAGATTTATTTTAGTGAACCTTCTGAGAAGCAGGTTAGTTAATTTCTTTCCTTTTTGGGTTACCCTTTAAGATAAGCATTGCAAATTTACAGCTCTAAAGGAGCATGTTTTTGGAAAGCGTCTCTCAGTCTGAGTTAGTATAATACAAGTGCCTAGGCCTGAATAAAGCAGCAGGTCCCAGGACACATCTTTTTTTTTATTGCTTTTTTCAAGTTCTACCTGTCCTACAAAGAAGACTGCTCAAAAATCTCAAGGAGTTGAAACCTATTGGCATTTATGAGTTTCTTTCCACTTGGTTTTGAAAGAGAAACCAAAGTAAAAAATAAAAGCAAACTTGAAAAATTGAAAAGACAAAATATCAAAGTATTAAAAAACATTTCTAGTAATATTGATTCAGCTATATGCTAAAGATCAAGTATTCTTCAATATACACTTTGTAGATAACTGGCTGTATACCTTGGTGGAATTACTTTATTAGATCTTAATAAATATTCATTTCTGTCAGAAGACCTTAAGGGAACAGGAAAACAAATCTAAATATCAGCTTTGGAAGGCTGGATATTATACTGTGATACACTTTCCGGAACAGGACATTACAATTCTGTGGGATAAGAAGACTATGATGCATGTTAAAGTTGGACCTCAGTGGAAGGTGAGCCAAAATAAAAACCTGAGATTTTGTGTAGCTTCTCTATATCACTAATGTGATCTCTTATTGAATAATTGTGATTGTCTTTTCTTCAAGACTAGCTTTCCCAGTGATATAGCTGTTTATCATGGTGTTCAGCTGCTAGCATTTCCCAGGTAAGAAGAGATGGAGAACGTGGCTTCTGAAGAGAAACAGTGGTTCCTACATGCACGTTTACTCTGTTGCTCCACACGTTGCAACCTTGGAGACAGGCAGGGATTCAGCTCTGACTCAGAGATACTTTGGGGACTGGAAGGAAGAGTTAGTTTTGAGTTACCCAGTTCACTGCATTTTTTCTTAATTCCATATCTAGTGAGGGGGAAGACGGCAGGTTTATAGCACAGATTGGATTAGACTGATGATGGAACTGCACCCTGAGATGTAATAGAGGCTTTTGAGATGAAGAGATGTAGTCATATCTTGGGTTTAATTTAAGAAGACAAGACACAGGAAAGGATTTTGACAAAAACTGACATTTAAACCTAATAGGTATATTGAGACAGGGTTCAGCCATGATTCAGGGAAGAATACGAGGCTCCGTCTCTTGCCAGTTGCTCTTCTCTTTTCCATTCCTACATCGTCGTCTGTCTTGGTGTCTCTGTAACTCAGTTTTTGGGTCCTGGCAGAATAACCTTATACATGCATTTCAGAATTACATTTATGTTTTGTTTCAAACATGAACACATGTATCAAGATGGGACTCTTTCAGCAAAAGAAAAGAAAGCATGCTATGCTAGAGTACAGTATCAGATTTTTCAAAGTGTAAGTCAAAGCTATAATGACCATCTAATGTGGTATTAAAGCAAAATTATTATAGGCTTTTGTCAAAATAACCATAAAATACTTACTTCACCTACAAGCTGATTTATCATCAATAAATACACAGAGTGAAAAAAAAAAAAAATCTCCTGTTTTTCAGTAAGCTAGCAGGGAGGTGAGTTCTACAGGTTGCATGCAGGAACACAAATAATTCCAGCTCTTTCTGTTTCCAGTGACTCTTCCAGAAGCTGTAGTTTAGTTAGATAATGTCTGCAGCAGACCTTAAGAAAAAAGAATTTATTAGCAGGAGCCACAGCACTTTAGAAATCCAACCCTACTTTTTACCGTTGTGCAGAAATTTCTATTTTCCTATATATTTATATTTGCATGCATGTATATATACTTTTTCCATCAGCAGCACATGCCCAACACCAGAAATCTGCAGCTGTCTATGTTACTACAAATATTCTTGCTATTGTGAGCTAAAATTAGAAGCAGCAAGTTTTAATGACAATAACTAGTCAGACTTCACAATCATGAGGTAATTCACCTGAACTTTTGACTTTTGCACTGGATGCACTACTAAGCTTTCAGGAGAATTATTACTAGATTCCAGTCCATTTTTACAGGCAGACAGTAAGAACAGGTTCTGGAAAACAAGAAGAAATCCACTGATGTCTCTTAATAAGATATTTGCAATATGGAACCTTAAGAATAGCAGTGTCAAATATTTTTAAAGTATAAGTCAGAATTGCATTCAGCTTTTTCAGTTAAAAAATGTTACATTCCATGTGTGTAATTGTACCAATTATTGACTGTCAGTTTATAAGAAAAAAAATTTCTTCTTCTCTTCCAGGGTAAATTGGCAGGTTTGTGTGGAAATTTTGACAGATATACTTCAAATGATCTGACTACATCAAACAACCTGGAGGTGAGAAATGCACAGGTGTTTGGAGACAGCTGGGTATTAGGACAGGTAAGTCCCGAGTTCAGTAAAACATTAGAGAAAAAAGATGATAATTTTAATTTATAAATGAGCACAGTATAAGCAAATGATGCACAGATATTTTCTAAACTTATGGTCACTGCATAAGAGGATATTTTAATTTTTATGTGTTTAGATGTGAAATGTGTTAAGGTCTTGTGTTATAGCAAACACATACTGAATTTAAATGAAAGCAAAAAATCTCTTCAGGGAAGAATATGTTTTCCCCTATGTAAGACAATTATTATAGTTATCTGGATTTCAGTTTTCTACAAAGTTAGGTACATTGCTTCTGTTATTTTTGATTCGTCCCAGTTTTAGAAACAAATGTAATTTCTCTGGTGTTAGAGGCACCAGGATACTGAAAGTAAGTGGAACCTGAATGCTGGGAAAAAAGGTCTGGAAAAAAGTTTCTTTCTGAACACTGAAAAAAAATGATTTAGTTTAATTGCAGTTTGTGAACAGAAAATAAACTGACAAACCAGAGGTGGTGATGGGATGGGAGGAAAAGGCTCAGAACAGCAATAGACACAGCCAATATGGAAACTTGGTTTCTGAGGGGAAGAAAGGGGGCTGTAGAGAGTGGATGATGCAACTGGGTTTTATAACACAGAAGAATAGGTATTTTTTTCCTTTGTGCTGAAATGATGTAAAGTTTTATAACCTTGTGAACCTCCCGGAAAATCAGTATTTATAAAACACTCCTTTTGGATGTCTGTCAGAACCAGTTTTTAATTTGTTGTCTCCTTGACACAGCAGAAAGATGAACAAATATCTCTTGTCTCGTGAAAGAATGCTTTGGAATAATGATTTTGAGGCTTTTCTGCCTCCATATCTCCCTTTGAATGTGTTTTGTTCTACATAAAATGTTTAAATTGTGTGAGCAAGCAAGGCAAGTGTGTAGTGTTGGTATTTATATTGCTCATCTGGAAGGTCGTAGATAAACAAATGTGTATGAAGTGTGTGAATTTTTCTTTGTCATTTTATCAGTTCAATGGCTGCTTTAAAAAAGTGTGTAGTGTTTGCATAGCACATTAACTTCTAGGGTATTATGGCCTTTGCTTACGCAGCTCAAATTTCCATGTGCCTTTTTGTGGCCATATATATATATATGTATTTGTTAAATCTTGTGTGATCTCCTGATCTCAGTGTCTCCCAGAGCACTTAGGATCTAAGTTCAGCCTTGGCCTCTCTGGTAGCCTCTGCTCAGTCAGATACTTCATCTGGCCCTGCAGTAGGCCTCAGGGATTTTTTCAAAAAAGACCCTTGGCCTTTGTAGTGATGTATCCTGTACTGTAAAGGAGTATTTGATAGCTGGAGGCCTAGAAGCCAGTTCTGTTACTGGGAATCATGCTTGCATTAGCACTGTGAAGCATGGGATGCTTTCAGGGCTTCTCCCTTCTGGGAGTGGCACCCCATCCCCTCACAGTCGTGTCTGAGCAACTGCACAGGAGGGCAGTGTAGGTGGACAACTGCACTGCAGCTAAGGCTGCTTTTGGACACTCCAGTGATGCCTATGGATTCATCGTTACACCTTCCTGGGCTTCTCTGCTGCACCAAGAGAGCATGGATGAACTCACGTTCTCTAAGCTGAGTGTCATTTTGTTATATTTTTCTGTTCATTTGTTTTTCTTTTTGAAGAGAGACTTTAAGTGAGGGAGTTGTATCTCAGCCATTTTTGAGTTATCATGATGATCTTTGACTCTTTTTTTTTTAATGGGTTGCTCCCTTCCTACTGCTGCTTCTTTATTTGAACTTACAGGGCTAAAGCCATCCACAGTGTGACTCCATTTAAAGTCAGCGCAAAACCACCCAGGATGGATTTGGACCATGTATTTGTTTGTGATGTTACAGTTGGTTGCTCTGGTAATGATTATAATGTGTCACAAAGAAAACATTTTGTCTTAATGCACTGAGCAGACGGCAGGAACATTTTAGTACTTCAGAACAAAACACAAAGATTCTTTTTTTGTCAAAACACTTTCAATTATAACAACAAATCAGGGAAAGAGGATGATGAAGAAGATAGTATTTAAACTTTTGTTTTCTGATTATGCAAGTATTGAATTATATGATACTATAGTGTATCTGAGTCTGTGATAAACACACCTAACTATAAAATATTTGTGGCGTTTTTGCTCGTTTTCAAGTGCAAGAGCCCAAATGAAACGCTGAGACCATGTGATGTACATCAGAGCAAGTTCCCTTATGCCAAAAAGGAATGCTCAGTTTTATACAGTGATGTTTTTGCACCTTGTCGCAATGTGGTAAGTTTATTAAATATCCAAGATATTCTGTCATGAAAATAATAAAATTACAGTAATTAATTTCTTCTTGCCATTCCCCTCAGTCTGAATGTCAGGGAGGATACAGAGCAAAGCCCTGCAAGTATCTCTTTGAGGGTAGGCTATGTTTGTGCAGAGCTCCTCATTCCTTTCAAGACTGGAGCCTAAACATAATAGCAATAACTGGGAGTTGTGAGTTAGTAGACTGAATAATGAAAGTTATGTTCTCTTTAGATTTTATTCATACCTTTTATTTTTATAGTAGCTAAATTTTTAAGACTTTTGTATATATTGCAGAATTCTAAAGTTAAGTATGTAAAGTTAAACATGTGTAATGTACCTACAGCTTATCTCAAATGGTGTTATTTTGTTAATTATCCTGTTCAATATAGAAAGAAATGTGAGAAATCCAAATTTCAGCTTCAGAGCTATTGATATTTTTAGTTAGTGGACAGCTCATCATCTGCTTTTTATCAAAACTCTGAGGTTTGGTGTCCTTGTTTTCCCAATACCTGTCTGAGCCTGGAACTTGAGTTACAAGAATGTCCTTAGGTCAGTCTAGACAAGATGGGGACAACAACAGCTTTTGTGGTAATCTTTTGTTCCATTTTAATCCACCTTTTATCAATGCAAAACATGCTTTATACATTTTTCCCTGTTTCTGATTTTAGCTTCCCAAAGGTGTTTAGGTACTTCTTTACACCTGGGCAAGCAAGAACTGCTATAACATTTTGTCTCAGTCTCTTATTTTCTTTATGACTATTAACACTAAATACTTAATATTAGATGTCACAGCTGAACCTCCTGACTTTCAAATCTGAAGTTTGATATGAACATGGTTAGGCATTTGCCTGTGTAGGAGGTTGCAGTAGCTTAACCCAAGAGATTTATTAGTGTTGACTTAAGTTACTATGTAAAGAATTTTTTGAGCATGTGCCTGAGAACATAGTGATGAGTGTATTTTAGAAGTGACAAGTAATAAATAAAAATGGAACTTCTGAGAGTTTTTAAGAAGCTGTATTATCACAACTCATAAAGAAAGATGTTTTCTCTTGAATATTCATTTTCTATATCTTATCCATGTTGTGATGAAAATTTGAAAACATTACGCCAAAAATTTAGCATAATTATGTTAAAAAATGTATGTCAGGTGCAAAACATAGTCAAGTATTTTTGCACATGCATATGTATCTTCTATGGGACAGCCTGTAAAGCAAACATCTTTCATGTGTTTTTAAAACCTATTTATTAGCATGTGAAAATACAGCTCCTGCAAATGCAATGTAAAGTGACCTCCTATCAAGGGCATCTGCAACAGACTGCTAGCTACAGGGGTGGAGAACTGGGTGCCAAGGAAAAAGCCCAAGCAGAGACTGACACTGGGGGCATGGAAAGGACGGAAAACATAAATGTGGGTTTCAGATGTGCTTGGAGCAGCACTATTACTGTTGCTCCTGCTCTGCGGGTGATGGAGGATCCTGCCGTGCATGGAGGGAAGCTCCTGCCTGTGGGACACATGGCCTCAGAGTTCAACTCAGGCTGGAAAACCCAGTTTTCAGGGAGACAAAAATCTTGCATTTCTGGCTGGCAGCAACTGATGGATTGCAGTTGCCCAGATAAGCACTGAATTCAGCAGAATCTAAGGAGCCTCAACACTTGCAGAAAAAAAGGTCTTCCTCATGATTCCTAAGCTCAGTAAGAATTTTGACCTAAGGCTCCCAGTTTGTCACAACAGCAAGATATTTCTGACCCATGGAGAGATGCTGTCCTGCAGGCACGAGAGACAGGTTGAGGTCTTTGAAGCCAATCTGCTGTTTAGTGATTCCTGCATAGCTACTGCAGTTGTTTTCAGTGGAACTTATGCTCGTGTGTGTTCCCCGTGTTCTCAGTGGTATCCCTGTTTTCAAAATAAGAAAAAGAATGAAAGCAAAATGGCGTCATTCTCCATTGAAGGCAGAAAGTCAATCTTGATCGAGTCCCTGACAGCTTCTAGCAACTGCCAGCTGAGAAACTGCCTCTGTGTTAGATAAGTGCTGCTTTGTTGCTGTGATGGTATTTCCGTAATCTGACGTGTGCCATTTGAGTGCTTTACAGCTGAGCTAGACCAGAGACTAAACCGAAGAAAAGCATTGCTTTAAACGTTTCACATGTTGAGTAAGAACACTGTTTTGGAAACATTGCTCAACATTACAAAAATGGTGATTTAAACTCAAGGAACAATGTATCATGTAAAACCATGAAATAATGTGATAGTGTTTTAGAATGAGGATATGGATTTCTGATCTAATGAAGTTTTGGGGGTAAATTATATTAAAATCTTGATAAGTGCAGAAGTATTTTTTTGCAAAATGTCACCAGTGTGCTTAAGCTTTCTTTCTCTGGGCAAAACCCTCTCTGCAAATTATTACTTTAATTACTTGGTAATCATAGCTGTAGCTGTGACTTTGTTATTTTTCATGCAAAACTGACAGGATGACTATAGATGGCAGTATTTGCCATATAAAAAAAAGCAGAACATCCATCTTCAATATACTGTCCAAAATTGATGAACAGCAGGCGTGTGGACAGACAAGTTTGTTGGTAGTCACTGGCTGAAATTTTCTTTTGTCGTGTAACATAGGTATAAGCTGATCATTTAAACTGTACTTTTTGTGTAGGAATATGCCCAAACTTTGGAAAATACCCTATTTTTTTGTTTAATTCTTTCAGTCAATCCAGAAGTATAACTTCTGCTGAAAATGCTACAACACAAATTCAAACAGCTTAGGCATTTAAATAACCTCTTTTTCTCTTCCTTTTTTTATCCCCCTACAGATTGATGTGACTTCTTTCATCAAAAATTGTCACACAGATACATGCAACTGCAATCTTGGTGGGGACTGCGAGTGTTTGTGTACCAGTATTGCAGCTTATGCCCACAAGTGCTGCCAGCAGGGAGCAGCAATCCACTGGCGATCTCCTTTGCTCTGTGGTGTGTATCTGGGCTGGCCATGCACCAGAGCTCATCTCTGAGGCCTTTGGCCTTTTTGCTGCCCAATTAGAAAAATATGACAGAAATAGGTAGATAATAAACATACTTCACATTTTTCAGACTGTCTGTGTGTTAGCTGTGCTAGCCTTATACACCCTGCTGTCTTACTGAAGAGGGGTGACTGTGCTCAGGGTGTGCTAGTGCAGAGACTACTGGAAAGGCACCTTTGTAACAGATCTGGGGTACATCCAGTGCTCCGTGTAGGGCTGCAAAGAGATCCAGTGCATTCTTCTTTTCATTGGCATCAAGAAGAGTTCTTGGCTATAGAATATTTCATGCTTCAGGTCTGCTGTCCCGGCACATCTACTTAAATACAGCTGTATGTCATTGAGCAAAAGCCTAAGGAAATAAAATCCTTGGCTGAAATATCTTGTGGAAGGTGAAACTTCCGCTGCTGAAAGTGAACTTTACATTTTTTAGGATGCAAATATGCATGGATTCTCTTGCTACTTTGTAAAAATAATGTACCTTTTTTATTTTTCTTTTAGCTTATGACTGTGAATATTACAATCAAGGTATGTAGTATTTGATATTCCTGCCTTAAAAACTCAGTTGAATTAATTTATGGGCTTTCTCTTGGACTTGATGTATGTAGTTTTAACATTGCTTCTATTTTTAATGAGTAAAGGTCAGTGACCCAGCTGTGTTGAATGATCTTAGTAATCCCTAATACCTCAAATAATAACCTCATAATGTTCAATGTGTGGGTGGATTAATCCACCATTTGCATATCACTGAAGTCAGGGAGAAGCTCTAGGAGGATGTTAGCTTATGCATGTACTGTAAATTTCAGAAGTGGGACCTACAATATTTTGAAATTAATATGTTATGGGATGTATGCATGAGTCTCACAACTACTGTACTCTAAAAAGAACAGTACCTTAGAATGAGAGTGGTACTGATTTAATAAAATGAACTCCTGTGTCATCCCCTCTAATATTTGGATACTGTGCACATGTTTTGTAGGGAGCAAGATGTTGAAAGGAAAGGGAAACTTGACTAAATGCAATGATATGAATGTAAATTTTAATTTATCTTTTTTTAGCAACTTACATCCTATAATGAGCATCATATAGAGATGATTCTTTTCTCCTCCTGTCTGGCCCAGTAGAGTAGTAGCATGTAGATTTTGCTAGGTATAACTGAATTTCCATAATTACTTTGTAGCGGGGAATTTTACCTTACTCAAAAATGTTTGAGGGCATGGTTTAATGGTGAACAGTGTGGTAGGAGTACGTTGACAGTTGGACTTAATGATCTTAAAGGTCTTTTCCAACCTAAACGATTCTACAATTCTGTGAAAAAATAGGAAGGAGTACTGTTTTTGGGTTGGATAGAGCTAACTTTCTTTGTATAGTTAATATGATGATATATTTTGTATTTGTGATGAAAATGGTGTTTTAGTTACTGGTTACACAGTACCAAGGCTTTTGCTGCTTCTCATGCTGCTTCTCATGCAGGCTGGGGATGCACAAGAAGTTGGAAGTAACACAGGTAGGACAGCTGACCCTAACTGATGAAAGGGATGTTGCAGAACATATGATGTTGTGCTCAGCAATAAAAACTGTGAGGGAAGTTTTCTGGATGTGGTGGGTTGACCTTGGCTGGATGCCAAGGTGCCCACCCAGCAACTCTATCGCTCCCGTCCCAGCCCAACAGGGGAGAGAGTAAGGTGGAAAAAGAACTCATGGGCTGGGAAAAGGCAGTTTCTTTAAAGCAAAAGCAAAGTGGAATCTTGTGTGTGCAAAAGTGAAGTGAAGTGAAAGACAGCAGGGTTTATTCTCTACTTCCCATGAGCAGCGATGGTTGGTCACTCCCGAGAAGCAGGGCTTCAGCATGCATAATGGTTCTTCAGCAGGCAGCTGTGGGAGATAATGAATCCTTGCCTTCCCGCTCCTTGCCTTAGCTTTTATGTCTGAGCTGATGTCATATAGTCTGGAATATCCCTTTGGTCAGTTTGGGTCAGCTGGCCTACTTGGGTCCCCCCTCCCAGGATCTTGCTCTCGCTTGAGGAAGGAATGTTACAGTGCTGGTGTTGTGCTCAGCAGCAGCCACAACACCAGTGTGTTATCAATACCCTTCTGGCTACCAATACAAAGCACAGCACTGTGAGGGCTGCTATGGGGAAATGAACTCCAGCTCAGCCAGACCCAATACACTGGGGCATATGTTGCTTAGGGCCCAGTTCGGCATTGATTGGCTGGTGGTGAGGAACTGGGTTTTTCGCGTCACTTTTCTTGCAATTGTTTTCCTTTGTTTCTTTTTCTTTCCTTTATTAAAAACAAAAACCAAAACAAATTAAACTGTCTTTATCTCCACCCCTGAGTTTTTTTCAGTTCTTCCCCCCGATTCTCTTTGGGGGTGTAGAGTCAGTGACCAGCTCTGTGGTGCTTAGCTGCCTACCAGGCTTAAAGTTAAGGACAGCATTATGCATGTTTCCACTATCAAATGAAAACAAGTGGAAAATTAGGACTTAAGTTTTGTATATTATGCAATGAGGATTTTTTTTTTTCTATTTGATTTTTCTTCCCTTAGGTCTTGGTGAAGGACCCTATATTTTGGCAAGTTTTGGAGCAAATGACACGATTATCGGGGCTAATGTATCCAGTAGAAGGATATTTCCTTTGCCTAGAACCGAAGCATATGGAAATGTAATTTTCAGTTTCATGATAACTCCAGGTCTTTTCAAAGATAAAGATTTATGTAAGTGTTTTCAGCAGTTTTGCTAATGGCAATATATACTTCTCAAACTATATGAATGATTTTTGCAGCATCTTCTAAATTTCACAAAATAGTCTAGATATTTTTAGTTATTAGAATAAGTGAGGATGAAGAGGCCAACTTCAAAACTGAGGAATTTAATTTTTATTTTTTTTTTAATATTAGAAAACCTCACTGCCAGATTTAAAGCTGACTTCTCAAAGACTGTTTTAGAAATAATAAAAAATACCCAAGTGAATAAAATACCTTTATGAAAAAAAAATTACTTTGTATAACTGGAAAAAATTTTGCACATGTATATAGCAATTATCAACACTGAAGGTCAATGCAGGATATTTTTGTCTCCAGTAAAAGCAATTCTACTTTATCATTTCTTCTTACTTGTTACTTTCACTGGACTATAAAATGTGCAACTTAGAATGGTCAGTCTGTTTTCTGCATTGTTAGTAAGCATACAATGTAGAAGATAGTTTCTTAGCTATTCCTAAGCTCTATTTTTCACTTATCTAAGACTTACCCAGACTATACAGCCAAAAATAAATATGTTTAAATATTTTTCCTTCTGTATGTATTTTCCTTTCTTCACATATATGCCATTTGTGTCAAGTAAGTCAATATAGATTTTTTTATTGTTTTCTCACATAATTTAATTTGTTGAAAAAATTCCCAAACCCTCAAAGTAGAAAAGGTCTGTCTTCACAGGAAAGTGAAATAAGCTTAAAAACATTTGAATTTTTTTCAGTGGGGAAATTAGGTTTTTAGATGTGATTTTGAAATGAAAAATGCATAGAACAAAAGAATTAAATTGGTCTTGTCAATTCTCCAACTGATGTAAAGCAGAAGTAAAATATTCATTATATCTATGCAGTACACAGGTAGTTTTCATATCCATGAGGAATGAGATAGTATTCATGTAGATTAAAGACACTTTAAGACTTTATTCAAGTTAAAAATCAAGTTCTTTCATTTTCAGAGAATTTTCTTCACTTTTGATTTCTGGCATGGGTAGAGCAAATAGAGGGTCAAGTCTCTTATTTGGCAACAGGTTTTCTTACTGTATTACTGGATATGACTGTATGTAAAAAACCCCCTGACCTCAAGATGAAGTCAAGCATGTTCATACAATTTGATGTTATTTACTAATGAAATTTGGGTACCCCTAAGTTGTCAGACATTTGTCCAAACTTGAGAAAAAAACTCCCAATTTGAGCAAGTTCCAGTCTAAGTCTGCTTATGAATAATTTTGAAGGCTGTTAGCAGTAGGCTGAATGTAGTTTTGATCTAACTGATTAGCTCCCTGGTGGTTCTGGATTATATGATCAGTCTCTTTTAGACTCTGCACTGCATTTCCAACAGTCTTTTGTGTAACATAAGCCTGAAATATTTTTTTGTGAAAAGCGGGTGTTTAAAAGGAACCACTTAAAAGCCAATATCTAGAATTTAATCTCAATTGTAAGTTGTTTTCTGTGAAAATCTTACTATAATTATTTTTTTTTTCTCCTCTGGAAGCTCTCTCTCTTGTTTCCCTGGAATCTGCTGAAAGACCAAACTACTTTCTGTACGTACATGGCAATGAAACCATTGGGTTGGAACAGTGGCAGGCAAGTGCCTCCTTTCAGAGACGAGCCACCTTCTTCCACCACCGTGGTCTCTGGAGTCCAGGGCTCAGTGCCTTTGAACTGCACAGTAAAAAAGGCTTTTTCATCATTCTCACCTCATCCAGTGTTAAAGTGGCAAAGTACAATGATTCAGAAGAATTCAAACATTTCAGTAGCTTTAACATTGAAGGTAAATTATGCATAATCCCCAGGGGTACGTATTCTTTTTCTGCTTGCCTTCAGAGCACTTGTCTTTCATCAGCAATAGTAACAAATTTTGTTATCCTTTTTTTAATTCCTTTCTTTCTTTGTCTTCCATTCCATCTCAAAATGCTATTTTTTTTAATTTTTGCAGATGATGGTCACTTTATCTTTGAACTACATTTTCATTTGTTTACACTTTCAAAATGAAATTCACATGTCAGAAAATGATGCATGTTAATATTTCATTAGTGGTGTATAGATATTTAATCTTTTAAATAAATTGGGTAATTGTATTGCTTCTGCAACCAACAATGTCTTCTTTATCTTCAACTAATTTTTAAGGTTTGTAAACAGAATATATTGTAAGAGTAGCTGTTTTTATTGTTGAAGCTTGAAGTGTCTTCTAACTTGAATGAATCTAAAATACTTGAAATTGAACAAAATTTCACCTATTTGAAAGTTCTGAAGAATTTGTCTATTTGACTTCCATTTTTTCATCTATCTGAAAATCCCAATGTATGGTATAGAAAAGGCTATAAATTTATGGTTGATTGACTATACAATCAATAAATAATACCCTTTCCTTCTTTCTCAGAACTTAGTGCTTCTGTGCCTTATAGAAGGATCTGTGAATGGCGATATGAGTCTTGTGCCAATCCTTGTTTTAAGACATGTAGCGATCCTGAAGGAATAGCATGTAGATTCCTTCCTCCGTAAGTAAAATTAAGCTCATATTGCTACTGTATTGTTTTTGTAATATGCATACCATATGCTTTATGAAGATTACTGCACTTGCAATATCCATTCATTTTTACTCATCCAGATTTCAGTTTCACTCTTGTGAGAAACTCTCACAAGTCATATAAAAATATTTGTAATAAGCCTCTTGTTTCCCACGGTATATATTCCTGTTTATATGCGATACTTCAACACAAGAGGGTTAGTATTTAGCCAAGAGGATTAGCTTCTGGTAGTGGTTAAGTAGAAAGCTATAAAATTAAATGAAGGCTATTTCCTTCTGTGGATTTATATTCACATCCTAAACCAGCATCCTGTGATGATAAAATGACTACATCTTTCTGGTGTTTATGTGAAGGAAATCAAAAACTGTAGGTAAAGTAGGGGAGTAATGCGCCCTCTCCTGTAAGAGGAGGGAACTTGTATACTAAGAGGTAGTCATTGCCATAGAGTGATTTTACACGGGTGATATTAGCTTGTGTGTTAGTGACGAGATTTCCTGTCTCCGTGGTTCTTCCTTGGCATCTATGGAACCAGACTACAAACTAAAAGAAAAAATACCTAAAAACTGAAGACACAGTGTGTTGGAAAAGAAAGGATATTTTGAAATTCAGACTACCTCCCTAGGCATATGCAGCTTATGGTTTGGAATATTAATAATATTGCTAATTTTCTGTATTTGTATTCTTAGTGTTTTCCATATGGGCACACTGGTTGGTAATGCCATGATTTTCTTATTAAAAAGTTCCCCCAAAATGAAAAAATATGGGAATACATGGACTTCTCTACACTCTCCTATGCTGAAAGTATACAACAAAAGACTTTCTATAGAGTTAGTCTAAGTATTTTAATGTTTCAAATGAACATTCATGATTTTTGGAAAACCTTTCTGCTTAGGGATCTAAGCTTCAACCTGGTTGTGGAAGCAGCTATCATGTTCATCAGCCTATTCAAAAGAATCGACTATTAACAATTTAGAAACAGAACTGTGCTGTTCAATAATGTTTTGACCTTAAAATGCCTCAAAATTCTGTGTTTGCCATTACATTAGAAAGTTCTCAGAGCTTTGATAGGGGAGACATTTGATTTTTTTTTTTTCCAAATAAAATAATTAAAAGTTAATTTATACTTCCCCTGTGGCTTCAGAATTGACTATAAAATATTTTATAGGGTTGAAGGATGCATGCCATACTGTCCCAAAAACATGATCCTCGATGAGGTCACACATAGATGTGTTTATCCAGAAGACTGTAAGTATATTTTATGATACTGGTCTAAACTTATACCTTACTCTAGAGATCCCAGAAAAGGCTTAATCAAGTGTTCATTTTTTAAAACTAAGTGCTTTATCAGAACATCTGTCTGTTGAAGATTGTCATAGACTCAATTCCCAGTCCATTCCCAGTCCATTCCAAAATACAGCTTCTACATTCAAACAAGCTATATTTAAAACTGAATTCTTTAATTTCTCTAATTGTGGGTTAAATATAACCTTTAGACATGATGTTATACTCATGACAACTGTGTTTGAGTATATAATGCTAGTGTATTATACACATGTAAGAGAAAGATCCCAAATGAAAGAAATACTGCTGTAGCAAAAAGTTCATTCTTTTCAGATGGCGGGACATCACTAACAAACTCAAAACATCTATTTCATAAGTTCTAGTGTGTAATAATACCACATTGCTTGCTTATTTTGGAGGGTACAGTATTCTTTTAATATTAAAATTAAATTTTAATGCTATGTCTTATTTTACAATTTTTGAGTCAAATACATTGTGCTTGATATTTACTAGTAAAAAGTTTATTCCAAATATTTTACTGTTTTGGATTTACTGAATTTTCTATGGTATCCCTTTGTTGTTTCAAAACTGCTCTGCAAAATCAAGATTTTCACTAATAATAAAAAATTAACTACTTCATTTGCAAAGAAAATTTGAAAATTGAGTCATCTGAGTTCCTCAAAGTCATCAGGCTACCTGGAATCATTGGCAAGCTCTGATTTGCTAATATTTAAATGGGACTTAAGTAGAGATAGATGTTGATCTTTTGCTTTACTAATAATCCATAAAAGACAGTGAAACATGCATTTTTCCTTTTAGGCATACCTGTGACACCTACAGGATCAGAAATTGGAACAAAACCTTCATGGTTAATCTCTCACACGGATGCTACCATGGAGAGATTTCCTCAGACACCTCCTTTATTTGTTACTTTGGTGAATGAACCAACTCATATCGGCGTGACAGACAAAATAACCATGGAGGCAAACACAACTTTAAGGGGAATGAATATGTCAGCACAGTCCATTACAGACTTTTACTCATTGGAATCATCTAATGCAGCCACCTATTCAACATTTTCATTACCAAGTACAGTGAACCCTTCTGATGTACTTCACAGCACAGCCAGCTCTACTGTCCCTTCCAAACTCATCTCTTCAACATATTTTCCAACTCTTCTTCAAGCATAAGCAGTCATATCACATACTGTCAGTTCTAATACATCTTTAATTTTACCTATTACAATAGCAACTCCAACAGCTTAGTGCAAGTCCAATTCCAACACATTCTGCTTTATTAACACCCACCTCCCTAGTGGTAGTTCCATTTTCACTTGAAACACCAACCACTCAGCTAGGAACAGTTCCCCTACCTCAGCATTAATAACTTTAACCTTCAACCCATCTTTTGTCACTTCTGAGCTGTCTGCAGGGATTGGGAAGGGTAAGAGTCCTTCAGTAAGTAATTTTAAGGAAGTTGAAATATCCTCTGAAGTGTCTTTGTCTGCTTTGCTGGCTGGCAGAACAACTTTCACAAGACCTGTATTTCTTCTAGGTCCATAGTTGACATTAAGCACATCTACTTCTCCTATATCTGCTTCGTCTGTTAGAACGAGGTCTTGCATTGATCAAACTGCAGTTTACCCAACATGGTTTTCTGCACTGACTTCAACTGGTCCTCAAATTCCTATGACTACTGGATTTGCTAGCTCTGAGATAAGTTTTCCTCAATTGATCACAGTTTCATATTTCAAAACAGCAAAGCCCTTGTCTAAAACTTCTCTGATATCATTAAATGCGAGTTCTGCAGCTAGTTTTTCTCCAAAGCCATTTTTATCTTCAGTGCAAATTTCGATGACTGTTCCCAAGCAGGCATCTCCATTAAAAAAGGGCAGTATTTATGCTGCTCTGCCAGTAATGACTGTATCTGCACCTCAAGTTGCTTCTCAAATCCCTATAAACACTTCTTCAACTCCTTCTGTAATATGCACGGTATCTATAGCAGTGCATTCCTTGATTACCTCCATAAAGCCCAAAGTTATGGCAGCTGTCACTGTTGCCTCCAAAAGTGTTTATAAAATATCTTCTGCAGCTTCCATTCCTCAACTCAATTCAAAATCTTTCAGGTGCCTATAGTAAGTAAAGCCTCAAGAGAAAATAAGTATATTATGCACACTCATTTCAGTGTCATCCACTTCTAAAAAGCCAATGAAATCCATTATGTCTACAGTCTTCCCTCTCAGGACATTGATATTACCTTTAAATGCTACATCAGTAACCACTTTAGAAATTACAGAGTACCCAAGCAGTTCAGATACAGAATTGAGAACTGACCCTGTGGCTCAAAGTTCAGGCACTTTCATTCCTAAAGATCCTTCTCTTACAAGGTCATCATCTTTATTTACAACCTTGTCATCAACATCAGTACCATCTTATGTGACATTTCAGACTACAAGTTCTTCATTGATTCTCACAGTAGATAGCACTTCATCACTAACACAAAATATAATTACTGTTCAAGAATCAGTTTCATCTCTAGATACACAAGGAATGTCAAAAATTCCAGTTACAGACATTCTGACTTGTGTGGATTTTTCTAAATTCACTTTGAATATAAGCCCTTCTACCAACCTTTCAGCAGCACAAAAATCATCCATTTTAAAGCCCTCTTTACTAATGCCTAAAATTTCTGAAGCCACTTTAGAAAGCCAGCCCTCTATGCCTTCACCTCCTCCTAAGACCACTCATATCTCTAATGTTTCTCTAGGAAAGCAGAGTTCTTCGGTAAGTTCTTTGGAAGAAGATGGAAAAATATCAGCCATATCAGCTGGAATCATCACTCAATCCACTACACCAATGGTCATGAACACAACAGTGAATGCCACATCCTCAAAAGTACCTTATATTTTTGCAAAAATACCACCTAGCTCTTCAGCCAGTTTATTAGTTACTTCAGGCACTACTCTAACCTCTAGGATTACTACAAAAACCACTGATCCTTTTGTTGCTGATTTGGATTTTTATACGACTTCAGCTTCAGTTCTTACCACCACAGAAACACACAGATCTTTGTTTACAACTGCAGTAACTCAAGTTTCCCAGAGCACTAAAGAAACTCCGAAAATTATTGTAATGAAAACAACTGGTAGTACAAGTCCATTATCACAGATGAAGAGTACTTCATATGCAGTTTCAGAAGTTAAATACTCAACCTCTTATGAGAGAGCTGTGGAAATTTCACAAAGTGGTCAGACTTCATATGAGCAAAGAAATTTTACCAAGATAAAGGCAACCACAACTGACAAATCTTCCCTGCCTTATTTGCCATTAACTGCAGTCCAGAGTTCGCTTTTTTCAAGAAATACAACCTCAGTAAAAAATATCTCTCTTTCTGGAGTCCCAGGTCTAACAACATCAGATAGGTCCAAAATCCCAACACAGAAACCGATTAAACATTATTTTAGTTTAGCAGAGGCCACAGAGAGAACTAAAATAGGTTTGTCTCATTCTAGTGGTGGAATGGCTCTACTTTCCTCTTCAGAAACAACAACTGTAGCTGACAAGGCTTACTTTGGTACAATGATGCATACACTGATGTCTACATCATCTGAGTGTGTGGTATGATCAGTTTTACTTGTCCCTGTATGTTAAATTGTATATTACTTTTCAGTCTATTCTGTTATGCTACGTATGTAATACTAGAGATTTTAAATAGTTCCTATTTTCTATTTAATTTGTATATTTTTAAATACACACTTATTCTTAGAAGATAGTTTTATTGTTGCTCTTACACTACCCCGGTATGTTCTACAGCTTGGATGTATTGCTCTGAAAAAAAAGGGTTTAAAGCTATATGCTTGTTCTAAATATAGCTAAATATATTACTGAGGTGCAGAAAAAGCCATGATCCATGGAATTTTTGGGTTTGTGCATAATCTCACTCTGTCTTTCCTTTTCCCATTTGTTTCTTTGACATATGGTTTAACCTCATGGGAATGCATGATTTTGTGTTTCTTAAAATGCTTCAAATTATTGCTGACTATAATGCATATCCTCAATGGATAATGGTTTTTGTAGGGTATTCCACCAAAGTTAGATGGAACAGGACAGGCGTGCTGTTAGATGGAACATGTATTGTTGCTGCCTGTTACAACCACACAAATGCAAATAATTCCAAAATAACTGATGAGGGGTAGGTAGATATGCTGATATTCTCTCAGAGCAGGGAAATGGATGAATAATTGTTTCGATTTCATAAGGGCAATGAACTTAGAGCTGATTCTGGTTGTTTTTTTTCCTTATATGACAGCCAAGATACCTTGAATCTCTTGACAAATGTAGCCAGTATGTATGTGTCAATATGGGTTGGATGTTATACAATCTTTCAAGAAACTGCCCTAAGGATGTGCGGAAGCCAGATTGTGGTTTTCGAGGAATGCCTGTTCAAGTTAACACTGATAGTTGTTGTCCAGAATGGGAATGTCCCTGTAAGTCACTGTTTTATTTTTTAATAAAATATAGTGTCTTGGTCTGTACATTTCAAGTAATAAATTAAGGGTTTATTCCAGTGGGAATATGAGGTTGAATACTGCAATGAAGCAAAACAGAATCAAATATACTGAATGTTTTGGCATATTTGAATTGACATTCAACCACACTATATTATAGCATTCAAGAGAATCAAAATATTTTGTTTTGAATGAAAATATTGAAATGACATCTGCCGCATGAACATCAATGTTTTCCAGCTGAGACATTTCAAAATTTCTATCAGTAAAAGTAAGATTTCAACATTTTGTGAAGAAAAAAAAATTGCTAGCATTTTCTGAAAGACAGAACCCCTCAATTTCAGTTACTCTAATTGCAGTTTTTACTCATGCATAGAAACTGCAGAAACTGGCAGATGAGTGTCTGCCAAGGGAAAAAAAGAGGCGAAAGAGAAGTAATATTTAAACCTTGCAGTTATTGATTAATGGTAATTAACCAATGGTAATTGGTCATTGGTTAATGAAACCCATATTACACTTTATATTCATTTCAAGATTGGACAGAAAAGTTCCCTGTTATCAGTATCTCAAAAATATGAACATTTTAATGCATATATTTTAGCTCATGCTGTACAGATTCATTGACTTTGCCTGTAAAACATTGGCTTAAGTGAAAATTTTCACCATTTTATACATTCTTCCCTATCTTGGGCACACAACAGTAGGTCAAGATATTTCCACTGATTAACCTAAACACTTGGTTCTGCTTATGGCTCAATATGCTGTCTGCAGAACAAGGTCATCAATATATATATGAACGCATATGTGAAAGAAAATAATGTTAGAACTGAAAGGTTTTAGAAATGTCCTGTATTTGGTTTTGTGTTAACCTCATTAAATGACTTTTTTAGGTCAATGTTCTGTACTGTCTGAACTGAGTATTATTACATTTGATGGAAACAACATAGCCCTCTGCAATATGGCTTCCTACATTTTAGTCAAGTTACCAGGAGAAATTATTGTTGCTCATATTGAAAAATGTCCTGCTAATCAGGTAAGATTCTTGCATTTGTGCAATAATTGTAATAGTTTCTTGAATTTTTTTGTTATAGGTATGAAATTCTGTGAAAATATGTCAATTAAAACTTAGATATAAAAGCCATACCCACTGAAAATTGACAAGTTATTTAATTTTCAAGGAGCATGCTTAATCATGCTGTCTAGATAAAAGTATTTTGTCTCAGGTTAAATAGTAATTGTTATGTTATAAGGAAATTCAAATGTAGGTTACATATAAATTAGAAGAGGTGCCATAACTTCTGAATCTTCATGTCTGCTTTCAGGCTCTTCACGCACAAGTCTTCTTGTGGCCTTGAATTTATACTTTACCATACGGTCAAAATATTAAAATATTTTGAATAGTCACAAAAGATATTTTGTAGTTATTTTGGGAATGTATTAATGACATTGGGATTACTGTGGTGAGTTGTTCTTTGTAGTTGTCTAACTCTGCACTGCCTACGGAGGGGATCTGACCACTTTATTTTAGACTGCCAGTTAAGGTCAGGTCAGTCTCATCCTTAGAACCTATAAATACATTTCCTTTGCATTGCCTGTAGTCATAATTTATGCAGCCCTTGATCAACTGGCTTGTTTCCGTCCTTGGTTTGTGGATAAACAAGTTACTGATGAGGAACTTCAACAGGCTTCTTTCCCTCCCATCCCTCTTTATTTACTCTCACTGGGCAACTGTATACTTGAACTTTAAGACTCTTAAGTACAACAGTCATGCACTAGTTTAGAGGTTTTCTATTAAATTGCTCTCTTCGCTGTTTCTTGGTTACAGTCTAGAGTTGGGAATGTAGAACATATAGGCAGATGAGCTTTAGAAGTCCATAGCTGTAGTTCTTTAAGAAATATTTTTTGAAAGAGCCTTTCAGCATGTGCACTACTTTAGCTGGGAAGTGTGTATTTTTTATTATTTATAAGGAATTTACTAAATTAGTGTAATTATTTAGCTGATTGTAGAAGAACTTCAAAGACAAAGAAAATAGTCAACTTATTTTTGATAAATAAAAATGCTGCTGATTATCATTGCACTTCTAATTTTTTTTAATGTTTTCCAGAGTGCAAATTCAATAAGAAAACTAGTAAGTACTTTTTATTTTACTAATTATAAAATGCATTAATGTTACATATATTGATAAAAACTCCCAATAACACTGGCACAGAATTAGAAAAACAATAGTAATTAAACTCATTTGTTACTTTTCTTTCAAGGTTCCACCTGCAAGCACTTCAGGGCTCTGTTTTAAGAAATTAAATGTCACAACATCCACATGTAAAATACTTATCAATCGCTTAGCAAGAAAAGTAAGTATATGTCAACAGTACGTACACTTAAATAATAGCTGGAGAGCTATTCTGTTGTAGAATGTAATAAATTGGAATTAAAATTATATATTACAGGATTAGGACTAGTTTTGCAGTTCAGGTTCCCAGTAATTTATGGTATCCTAGGAGCAAAACAATATACATTTCTGATACTGTGCTTCACTTATCTGTCATTTACCCAAAATAACACTTTAAAGTTCTTTAGAGATTTTAAAGAAGCTTCGAAAGAAGTTATACTTGAGATTGTATTTTCAGAAACCCTAAAACTGAACAAAAAGTGTTCCAAGATGGGATAAACACTAAATCTGCCTTTCCTACTAGTCAATTACAAGTCAGAACAGATAATGTTGAATAATTGGAATGAGGTTTTGTTTTATAATACAATACATGATAAATAAGATTTATTCCTTCCTTAATTAGAAAAGATTTTTTTTCTCATGCCTACTTCATGTGCCGTTATAGGAAATGACACTGATGGGAAGCTCTGTGTTGCAAGCACTGTGACTGTTGTATGTGGCAGAGGCTGTAAAAAAATAACTTTCTTTATTAAATAGGAATACATATAGAATAGATAATTGCAATCTGTTTTTATTCCTAAAATGTGTTTGGTTTATTTTAGGTAGTAGTGGATTCTGCAATTCAACCATTACCATTTTCAAAAGAAGGACTGAGTATTCAGGATACTGGTGCAATGTATGTCGTTAATACCCCAGCTGGTATTAGCATCAAGTGGGCTCATGTTACAGGCATCATAGATATACAGTATGGATTGCACTCTAACACATCGATGGAGACAGAAGGACTTTGTGGTGAGGCTATGGTCACAATTTTTTTCTTATTTAATAACTTCCCATTTGAAATTTGCAACTCTCTTTTGTGTCCGTGACCAGCTGTCCTTATAACTCTCCTTGTGACTCTCACTGGCTATGATGATAATCCTATGTGATGTGGGCTTGTGAAATACTGCTAATTAATACCAATAAATTAATCATTCTGGTTTGAAAGCACTGCATGCTAATAAAGTACTTTTTAGAACAAGTAGTGATCAGCACATTGTATCTAAATAGCTTTTAAAAAATTACTTATTTCTGCCTGTTTTTAAGAATATTGTTGAAGTGAAGCAAAGAAAAGGAAAAAATTTTCAGTGGAGAAGTGGCTGCTAAAGAAGTTCAGGTAGTGACAGTATATTTCAGTGATTATGGAGAAAAGAGTAACTGTCTGTTGTTAGCAATGTCAGCTTATTGCTACGCAAATACTGAAAAAAGATTTATCTTGGGAAGGGGTCAAGTCTCCTGAGGATAGTGAATCTGAATTTAGACCTCTTGAGGTTGAATCTAGGGTCCAAAACTGTGCTTAGTTGTCTCAGACTTGAATTACAATGATGGTAAATTTAGCATATTTCAGGCTTCCCTGATAGCCTTTTTATAACTCTGCCTGAATGAATAATATGGAGAAGTGTAAGCAGGTATTTCAGAATTGCTTTAATTCTATCATAAATGTTCCTTTTCTGGTACATTGTAATTTTATGTAGTCTACCCCACATTGAAAAGGAAAACGAACTTTTTATGATCTTTTAAACCACTTTTAGTTTTAAAAGCAAACAATGCGATTCAGATATGCTTTAATTATAAATAAATCAAATCTTTAAAATCAATTGCTATATTCTGATTGAACAAAAGGAAAGTTCTCCTAGATCTAGGGAGAGAACACGAATATTGGCCCTGCATCTTTTCCTAGTATCGTGCCATCCTCTTTATACATGCTGAAAGAGTGGGATGAAATGAGATCAAATGTAGGAAGAATTATAGAATAGTCATAGAAGAGTTGCTCTTTGTGCCTTGAGAAGATACAAAGAGGAAGACTTTGCAGACAGATCCAAACTTCAATTTAAAGTGCTGCTTTACTTGATATTTTGCAGGAAAATCTGAAATCTTCTTTAGCTCTTCTTTCCTATTCTCTGCTGTTAATTCCTGATGGGGATTCTTCAGTCCTCTCCCTTTCATAATAGAAAAAATTGTGTGACTGTTTGGTACATCAGCTTCATTTTTAAAAGCTGTATTGATTCTGTAATTCTATAATATGACCCTACAAATTCTAACTCCAACAGTTAGTGATTTGCAGGAAGAAGCAAAAGAGTTAAGAATAGTGGAATTTTGTGCTACTGTCAAATGCTTCTTATCATGCAAATACCATCTTCTGTATTTCTCCATGCTGTCTGAAAGAATAACAGCCTGTCACACCAAGCTAGCCCAGTTCTAACAAGGGACTCTGGAGAGCATTAGACTGCAGGGCTGGAAGCACAAAGGCAAGGGCTTAGTGTGGGGTTAACGGTGCAGAGGGAAAGTGGAAGCAAGATAGAAGACTTTGCCTGATCGTTTCCGAGATATAAACCACTAGTATGAAGATTAAAGTTTTGGCATTAGTCACTTATTATGTGCTTATAGGAATCATAATTTAATTGATGAATCAACAGAATACCTACAATAATGAATTCAGATAGCCAATGAATGTCAGGGGTCTGAGTGGGGTTTTTTTTCCAGTGGTTTTGTATTAATAAATAGAGTAAGAACCATATTTTCTCTTGAGAAAGCAATTTGTTCATCAAAAGATTCTTTTCACAACTTCTTGCATTTAGAATGTTCAGTTAAATTTCAATACATGTCAAATAATCGGTGACAAGCAGTTAACTTGAAAGCCTCTGCAGTTACTCACAAGGAGTTGGCTGCTGTTCAGTAGAATGAGATCAGAATCTAGTGCCATATCAGTGAGTTTGCTACACTCAACACCACACTTTGGTAGCAGTTTTTCTCAAAAGTTAATTAATTGTTAGGAAAGGTATAATTAGCTGTACTGCATGATCTGCTTGTTTTACTTAGCCATTGAGGTGAGAACTAAAGTCACAAGCAGAAGGTTGGAACTACAGTGGACGTATCGCTACTTTCATTTATAAACTCAGGTGACTAAGTTGCACGGGTCAGCCTGATGCAATATTAATCTTACCTTATTAAGTGCACTTTTCTTTTGTTTGTGCTTTGAATATGATGCTCTGTCTCCAGGGGTGTGTAACGGAGATCCTAGTGATGACCTGAAAATGCAAAACATGAGCATAGTTACAAATATGGAGGAAATTGAAATGTTCATTAAGAGTTGGGAAATTGAGAAATCACTTGATGTAACAACCAGGAGGCCAGTAAGAAACTGTACTGAAGATAACTGCTCATACTGTATGGAACTGTTAAACAGAAGCATTTTCATCCCTTGTCACAAGAAAGTGAGTACAAAGATCAGAAAAATTGCAGGTGCAATTAAAATAAAAGTTGTATAATTAAGAAAAGAGTGAGAGATATATGCACATTTGCTGTGTTCTGCTTATTTTCATATTTCAGTTGAACAACTGAATGGGTGGCTTTAATACCTCCATCATGTTACCTTTAGTACTTTTGCCACATTGTCCAATGTAAACACGCATTTATATTGATCCCTGTGCTATTACGCTGTTTTAAAAATTATTTATTTTTAAATAATTAATAGGAAATTCTCAAAAGAGAGACACCAGATCATCATGTCAAGACAAATATGTTCCAAAAGGGTTGTTTTTATTAAATTCTTGCTTGGGGTCACTGAAACAGAAAGCCTTGTGTTTCTGCTGCATACAACAGTGACTCATGCAGTCTGAGACTTATCTGACTAAAGAAATTTCCAGTTAAACAAATTTTGACCTAGTCACTCTTATGTTGACAATTTGGTAGCATTTCTTACAAAAATCATTATAATTCGTTTCTGAAAACTGTACTTCCTAATGGAGATACAGCTGTAGCATGCAGCCTGCCACTAGAGGTGGGTAGTGCAGCACAGCTGCTTCCCAGAACAGAAAATGAGGAAATCCCAAATCTCTGAGGTCTGACTTTCCCCACTTAATTAAAAATAAAAAGGATTAATTACTCAAGTGTCTTTTTCTTCTCAGAGATGTGTTCAGATTCCTGATTCACTTCTTGCTGTTCTGCCTTTCCACCCTTATTTTGTGTTGTGTTACACTTTGGTTTTCATCACAGACAAATGCTGTTAAAAGTATTGCAGGCAGCTGAACCCCTTCCTTCAAATTCCCAAGACCACTCCTCACTTTTCCCAGATAGAAAAAAAGGAAGGGAGTTCTTCTGAAAAGAAGGAGCTATATTTGCCGCAGAAACTTAGTGGGAGGGAGCAATGGTAAGCAGTTTGGAATCAAGAAGGGAGAGTAGCACCAGTGCAGCACAGTAGTGAATAGGCAGAACGAAACAAAAGCTGACTTTTCCACCATGTTATGAACTTATGCAAAAGGAAACAACAGAAGTAAGAAAGGTTGCATCACCTGCATTTAGACTTGGTAACATAGGCTATCAGGTCCTGATAAAAAGAGAGTAATAAATAATTCATTCACAGCAGGATTTTATGGAAGGTATAGCAGAAATGTTTAGCTGAGATTGTTGACTTTTAGTTGACAGGGCTATACTGAAAAGCTCTTGCAAGTAGTGTGAAAATCTCCTTAGGACTGTGTTCTGTGTTTACTGATAAGCATAAAGAATTCTGGTTGTTTAAGTTTTGTAGAATGAGTGTTCTGAGAAAAAAGGTGTTTTTTAATTTAGGCACTTCTAGTCACTTTTCCCCCCTTGGGGCTGTATTATTTCCTGTAATTAATGATTTATTTTAATTACATAAAGACCTTATACTTTTTAGTTCCCAATTGCAATATGTTCCTAGGTGTCACCACAGGAATTTTGTGAGAAGATGTGGATCAACAGTACTTATTTTTGGAATTATGAGTGTGATGCACTTTCTGCATATGTGGCTTTGTGCAACAAGCACAACATCTGCATTAAATGGAGGACAGCTGATTACTGTTGTAAGCATGTAGCCATATTCTATACACCACATGTCTTTAGTGATGAGGTTTTTTAGTGATTTAGTGTTTAGTGATGAGTTAAAAGTATACTCATTTCTATTATTATTGCAAGTGCTATCTCATTTTCTCACAGCATGGGTAAATCGGGCTACAAGTTCTTAAGATGTATTCTTTAAGTCAAAGTGTCATGAATGAGTTTAGTCTCAGTTGAATGAGTTGCTTACCTGAAGTACTGTTAAAAGTATAAATGACTACTTTCTGTGATACAATCATTTGTTCTTACTAGCTATTTATACAATGAAATGCTGAAAGAAAAACAGAAACACTCAATGTCCTGTTTTTATTTCTTGCAGCATTGAGTTGTCCTGAGGGCAAGGAATACCAGCCTTGTGTGCAACCCTGTGAAGCCAAGACATGCTTAAATAAATGGTTCTATGAAGATTCTCCCTGCTCCTATTTGAGGGAAGACTGTGTGTGTAAAAATGGTACCATTCTGCATAGAACAGACTCTGACCTATGTATACCAGAAGAAAAATGTAGTAAGTACATCAGAACAGAGCAGTTTTGCAGATATGATGATATTAACCACAGTTCAGTGTAAGAGTTTAAGTTCTGTGCCAGTCCTCAGTAAGTGTGAATCTGGTAGAGGTCCATTCAACAGAGCCTAGCTGCATCTCAAGATACAGCAGTTTATGCTTTCAGTTCAGTTCAGATTTATGCTTTCAGATTTAAGACCCGGTGCTGATGCACTTCTGTTGGGGAAAAATGATGGTCATTCTTCCATACCTCTGAAGCTTTTCTTCCTCTAGTATTCAGGGAGGAATAGTATGGGCAGGTTCTGTCCCTTGCCTTCACCCATTTTCATCCATAGTGAAGCATTTGTTCCTTGGGGCTTTTAAGGTCATCATCCTTCCTTGGATTCCTTTATCATAATGCTTGACAGATGTATTATTCTATGCAATAGTTTTATGCAATTCATGGTTGCTTACAGAAAATGGAGCTGTCTACTTGTTGAAGGGATGTAATGGGATTTTTCTTCCAGCATGTACAGATAGTAAAGGACAACCCCGCTCTGCTGGGGAGAACTGGAATGGGTCCATGAGAGGCTGTTGCATGTATGGATGTTTAGAAAATGGAAGCATTGTTGCTGTAGAACCTGAATGCAATGAGGATCCACCACCAGTCTGTGAAAGAGAAGGAGAAGTTATTGTCAGTGTCATTGAAGAGAGAGCTTGCTGTCCCAAGAAAGTTTGTGGTATGTACCACACTTGTTTTCAGTAACAGAAGTGTAGGGTAAGTGCTTAACATTCACTGGCAGCTGACAAACTTTAGGCAGGATTCAAGGTAACATTTTTCAGAAGTCATTTTTAGGTACTTGTGGTTGGTTGGACCAGGAATTCAGGCTTTTTTTCTATATAAGAACTGACTTGCTGAAATAAATTTTTTTCTTAGAAGTTCACCAGTTAAACAAAACTTCTATAAAAAATTATTTTTTAAGTTCTTGCATAGAATTTAGAATATATATCAATAATATGTATATCTCAATAAATTGATATATATTTGATAATAGAAGTACCTTGGTAATTGGGGCAGTTGTCAGACCCTGTTTGCTTTCCTTACCAGTGCTTTGGTGTGACAAGCACTATCTTCTGATCTACTGCTGTTTTCCTGATGTAGTTTTCTGTGAGCTGATCACTGCGTACTAATATTCTGTCTAACCATGGTTGTTAGGAAAAATAATAAACTTATTGCTCCTAAAACATTAAGCAAAATGTACTTATTTCTTCTTAACGTCTGCAAGGAAAAGGAGAACAAATGGTCCAGCTGATGTGGTGCTTTTGCTCATTAGATACCTGTAACCAATGCTGTATTGTCAATTTGCTTAGGGGAAATCAGTGGGATATTTTGGTTGGCTTCAGGTATAGGAAGCAGAGCAAGTAAATACCTGTTTTAGGAGGGATATACCTGCTTACTTGTGTTGAACTCAAAGGTCTACATGATGGTATGGAGTGCACTTTAAGCTGTCTTGGACTGCTCTTATTTAGTGGATCGCTGTACTAGATGATATAAATATCTTGAACTATAGAACTTACAATTGTATCTGTTTAAATACAATAAAATTGATTTTTTTTTTTTATTCCACAGAATGTAACGTGTCATTGTGTGATGCCATTATTCCAACATGCAAACCCACTGAAAAATTAGTGGTAGGCTACCATCCCCTGTCCTGCTGTCCACAGTACCGATGTGGTAAGGGAAATACAAACGCACAGTTACTGGGAAGTTTTCCATACTTGCATTGTATGTTGAAAAAAGATTTACATTACAAGGTGTTTTGACTGTTAACAGAATGGGACACCGTAAATAACACCAGGCAATGGGATATGGTTTTTGTCCTCATTCTCCAATATTTTTTTGTGTTTGAGTTTTGTGTCATTTCTGATTTACAGTCTATTTGGGGTGTTTTATTTTACTAAGTAGATCAAGAATATATTTTCTTTATCTTTTTAGTATTGTCTCAGTGACCCCTTTTATGATAGTGTTTGTTTTGCATCCTACAGAATGTGATCCTTCAGTTTGTTTCAATGCTTCCCAGCTGGACTGCAGAGAAGATCAATTTATTGTTGAAGCAAAACAGGAAGATCCCTGTTGTTTCTCACATCTCTGTGGTAAGAAGCCTCTAATATTTTTATGGAGAACTAAGGAATAGTCAAAAATTACAAAAACAGACAATAGTTCTAAACCAAATAACTTAAGCCAGGAATTCTTGGAGAGGTCAGTGAGACTTCATATGGATCAGGCTGACTGGAGCATAATTACTTTTGAGTTTGACGATCTTTTCTTTCCAACATAATTTTGAACATCATACTTGAATTTTGTACAGTTTTTGTATAAAATCTATGAAAGTTCTGTTATATGAGTAATAAACACAATATTACTTGTTATTTAGTCTATTAAATGGAATTCACATGTGTTAACTTTTTAGTATTTAAAACTTTGTAAATGTCTGATTTTTTTTTTTTATATTTAGTTTGTGAATCCTGTATTGAGCCTGTTCCTTTGTGTGATGAAGGGGAAATTCTCACTGTAGACCTTAACACCATACATTACTGTTGTCCTCATTACTACTGTGGTGAGTGTAATTGTTGTCTGTTCCATATGTTGCCAAATTTAGTTAAAATGACAGACTCTGTGTGTGTGTGTGTGTGTGTGTGTGTGTGTGTGTGTGTAGATTTTTTTGATTCAGCATTTAGGGTGGGCTTCAGATACAGACTAAGAGGTCTGACTGAAGGTGTCTCTATTTGAGGTAGATTCAAAGTTCTTGGTATGCTCAATGGTAGTCTAACGAGCCTAGTCAGTGGAGTCTGGAGAGGTTATTTAGTTCACCAGACAGAATATAGTTATTTTCATGATGATCTAAATACTGATATATTAATGTGGAACTGAATCCCATACTTGGAGTGTAAGCATTCAATTGTTCATATATTACAACAGATTTAATAAAACAGCTTTTGTGTTGTTGTACCTCTGTGGTACCATTCATTAATGCTTAGGCAGTTTCTTTGCACTTTTAGCTTTCAGGGGAAGGAGCAGACCAAGGGTCCCAAAAACTGTTGGGTTGATTACTTTTCAAATAATGAGCAACCAGAAGAAAAATATTTGCAGTGTAACCTTGTCCCTTTCATAGCCTCATAAAACACATAAATTGTACTATGTGTTCTTAAGTAATGTCTACAAGTATAACTGCTTAATTTAAATTGATTCTTATGCTGCTGCAGTCTTGTCCTATTGCACTCTTACAGTATAACTTCAATTAATTAAATTGTCTTCCACAAAGTTTGGAATTTAGTAATTTTTACTTCAGTTTTTTCTGTGTTTTGGTCCTTTCCTTTAACTAGCACTTTTGCCCAGGTGAAAGTTTCTGCAGAAGCCTTTGGCATTGTTTTTTGCCAAATTCTGGCAGGTTTGATCTACATCTTAGTGTATGATCTTCTTTCAAAGTAAGCCCCCTCTTATAAGAGAGGCAGGCATTTTCTTGTTAGAGTCATCTCAGGATGGCATGTGTGTGGGAGTGTGCTTTACAGCACATTTGTATCTAAGAAAAAAAAACACCGTGTTTTCCAAAGACTATGATTTTAATTGTCTTTGGTACTAGTTATAATCTTAAGTCATTCTGAAGTAGGAAGAATATTAAATGAATCCTGTGTGATGTTTTCTGAAAATTTAAACATGTTCTAAGGCAACTAAAATCACTTTTGAAAATCTTTGTTTATTTTTTTAGTTCCAAATGTAATTCAGATGCTTAAGAAACACAATCAAATTTGTGTAACATAACATTATTTAAAAAATAGTATGTCAAAAGAAATGTAAGCTGGAAAATATGAAGTAAATTTAAGTAAATTCTCATATGTGTCTTTTCCCCTCATTTAGTTTGTGATGAAAATCTTTGTTCTGAGCCTCCTATGATTTGCACAGATGACATGACACCTGTGAAGAAAAAAATACTTGGGCAATGTTGTCCAGAATGGCACTGTGGTAATTATTGCTTTATTCCTTAGTCACAGCTGTTAACTAAAGCTAACAGTTAGCTAACTGATTAACATGTGGATTTTTTTCTCCTCAGAATGTAATTGTGAAAATGCTACTATGCTGACCTGTAAATTGGTAAGTGGCATTTTTAAGATATTTTTATTAATGGTGTTCAGCCCTGTTGCTCTTCCCTTTATATTCCTTGTTTCAGTTAGTTGCAAAGGGTGATGAGGCTGACCATGGACAGGGTGGTACAGCCTCCAAGTCCCCAGCTCAAGAACGTGATTCAAACAAGTGTCAACTATTCCATGGAGAAATTTTTCTTTCTGTGTTGTAAGATGTCAAAAGAAGAAAAGCAACTGTAATATTGTCCTGTTCAATGTTGACACTAAACAATATGCTGGTAAGGTTTTCTACAGAAATAGTTCCCATTTTTTAAAATAATTAATGAGGAATGAGTTTTATTACCATATCTGGAGAAACTTGGTTTTTCATTAATATTTTATGCTTTAGGTGACAATGATATAACATTATTCAATTTAGCTGATAGGAGAATTCATAAATATGTTCCTCCTCATGTAGTTTGTTGTAATAGGGACTGTGATCTGGAAAATAGTTATGAATGAATGTTCAAACACCTATTATAACCATAGTGATGATATTTTCCATATCAAATGTCCATATGTGAAGACTGCATAACACAGAGTCTAATTGGGGGTTTTAAATTTGAATTTCACTTATTTTTTGGAAGGAAATTCTTAGAAGGCTATCTTTTCCTAATATGAGTATTATTGAAATGACTTTGTATCTCAGGAACAAAATACTTTTTATTTACTCAGCTGTTCTTATGCACTTGTACAGAAAATGAAGTGGGTTTTTCTGTTTAAAAAGAGATAAATACATTGAATAACTCTGAGTGTGCTACTGTTTCTTGAGTACATTTTTCTCTTTTATGAAATCAGGAAGAGATGAAAGTAATATTTTACATTTTTAGAGAAAAATTGTCTGCTTAGCATTGCATTGTACATGACTTTGCAAACTTTTATCTTTTTATGCTCAGGGAGAAGTTAAAAAAATAGATAATAGTGTTTCCAGTGCTTGCGGATGCACTCACTACATTTGTGGTAACTTTTTCATATTCCTTGTTGTTGTGTTTTAGTTTTCAGCAGAAAGGGCATGCAAAGAAAGCAGAAATAGGACCATAGTAACCTTCTCAAATATAAATGCTCCTTTGTCTTGATTTGATGTTTGTCTACCTAGTTATGCAATTATACTCTCTTTTCTGGATATGAGGCTTTGTCTGCTAGCCCATCTATTTTGTGTCAATTCTTGTGGGATGTAGGAGTGTTGTAAAACTGCCCATGCTTTCAGAGTCAGGTACAGTCTCTCTGGTGAGGGGCATATGGAAAGCATGTTGTGAAGTGCAACTGTGTGTGAGCAGTGCAACTGCTCCTAGTCCACTTTCAAGCACAAATGAGACACCACCACACCAGAGCAACCAACTGTTCGGCCAACACAAAAGTAGGAAGCCAGTCTTAAGATCAGACCTCTGCTCCCTTCCCTCACCCAGCTACCCTATGGTAGACTGGATTTCAGCTGCACTGTGCACGAGGGTGCTGGAGGTATGCTGCAGTCCTGACAGTAGCCCAGGCTAAACTGCCTCAAGGAGCAAAGCACACATTTATGGTACAGCTTGAGCAGATTACTGGCCTACAGGTAATTGGAGACATACTAGTTTAATTGACAGAAAGGCTACATTTTGTAATGTGCAGAATAGTTGAATGTCAAATATTAGAACTCTTTAAAAGTAAGAACAACACCTTTTTTTTTTTTTTTACTTCCATTGTAGGAACACTATCAATTTTGGGCAGTTTTGCATTTTGTAGGATTTTCTTAAGTTGAATTATACTTTCTCCCCCTCTACTTTTGTAATTTAAACCACAAACAGTCAAGTCTAAAAGTTAGAATACTTTTGCATAGGACTTTGCCCTACTTTTGTCTTACCAGTGGTTCTGTTAATTTGTTTGATGATTTTTTTGTCCTCCTCTGGTGACATTTATTTGTTTTCATTTTAGAGAAGGATGATGTGTGCATCTTCCAAGAGGTCACAGTACTGAATCCTGGACAGTCAATAGTTCAGTACTTGGATGGAGACCTTTGTTACACTGTACAATGTTTACAAGAAAAAGATCAGAACACAGGATACAATGCCATGCATTTCACAATGATGAACTGTTCCCAGCAATGTGAAGCTGTAAGTATTCCTAAAATACAGGAATTATGCAATTTGTGAGCACAACTGCACAATTAGGATAAAAGTTTTAGTGAAAACTTTTGCTAGTCCTTTAACTCAGCAAGGATGAGAACTTAACAGTGATGATGTGTACCTTGTGTCTACAGGATTATTTTTAGAGGAAGGTTCTATCAGCATATGTAAATGTATCTATCTGACCATCCTTCCATCCTTCCATCCATCCATACGTATATTGCTTTTCTTGGTATTTTTGGTTTTAGAAATCAAAGAATTTTCATATCCTATATGTTTAAAAATACTTACTTGTTTTTTTTCTTTCCTTTCTTTCCAGCATCAAATATATATTCCTTCCTTCAGTCACCATACTTGTTGTGGTATGTGTCAAAATGTGTCCTGCTCTTTTCATACAGAGAATGGAACACTTATTGTGTATGAGGTAAGTGTCTTTGGACAAAGATAGGAAATAACTATAATAATAAAATAATTAGGTGTCTGACAGTCATTTCTTAGTTAACTCATGCTGTCAGTCTTGCTACATGCCTCCTTGCTGCTGTTTATACACTTAGAGACTATTTATGATATACTATAGGAAGAGTGGGTTTATTTAAAGACCTACCATTTCACACTCTGTGAAAACCTTATTTAATTTTATTGCTTGTAATATTTTCTATAAAGATATGTAAATGTCATAATTTACTTAAGGTTGGATATGCTTCAAGTGCAGGGAAGGGTTCAAATTTTAACTCTAAGTTAAAATTACTGTGATTTAGATATCTTGGGAGCTTCAGAGTTCACATCAGGACTCCTATGTCCCCCTCTTCTCAGGGCCACTCTTCTTGTTCTGGTTACTACAGAAAGGAAGAGTGCAAATCGAAGCACTGGGGTTCAGGATCTTGATGGTGTGTCAGCATCCCCATACATGGAAATTTAGATGTGGCCATAACTTCATTCATGCTTCCCATCGCTTTCAGAGCAAAAGAAACTAAGGCACAGACACTTTTAATTCTGCACTAGGACACCCATGCTGAACAGCGTGCTGGAGAATAGAGCCATGACTCCGGGGAGGAGTAGACACTGGTAGTTAGAGGATGGTCTTTCTCCTTGTCACCTCTGGGTGGTATGCAGGACTTTCCACTCCAGTAGGTACTACAGCATGAGGGCACCTGTTTTAGAGACATTTGAAGTTGTAGATAAAGCTGAAATGTTTTGGCTTCCCTGACAATGGCTTTGGTTCATATATTCAGGAAGGAAGCACCTGGAGCTCCAACTGCACCAACTACAAATGTGCTAAGACTGCTGCAGGGGCTATCATACTGGGATCAAGTGTTGTCTGCCCCCCGTTTAATGACACTGACTGTACAAAGGTTTGTACTTTGGGTGAGGTAAGTGACAATAACTGCTCTGGAGTTTGGCTTACACTTGACAAGGCATGCATAGCTCATGTAGTTCCTTTAAATTAAAAAAGTGGTAAGTAAAAACATGTAAACTAGCAGTTATTTGCTATGCTCCTGTTTGCTTTTCAACTGACAAAGTGTCTGTGAGCAGTATAAAAATTTGGTTTGGGTTTTGATGACTGCTTTTAAAATATTGTGGAATTGGAATCATGCTTAACATACCACTATATAAAGTGCTAATCACTGTGTCTTACTTTAATTTAGAATAACACTTAGCCAAGTTTGTAGTGCACATAGACTAAATAAATCAGATCAAGCAATCCAGAAATGCTGCATATAAAAGTCGGCTATATTAAAAATTCCTTAAGTTGTGCAAAGATTAGGAAGATAACAGAGATGACAGAGTATATATAAACTTTATTATCTCTTAAAATAAACTTTTTATAATAAAAAAATATCATACATGAAAGGGTATCTACCTACATCACATATCTAAAAATGTAAATGTGGCATACCCATATAAACTGCTTTGAAGAACATGTGTTCTTCACATACATTGCATATTTGTTTACAGTTTAATTTCTAATTTAATACTTCTCTAACTTTATACTTATAATTCTTGCACTTGAAGTACACCATATATTTAATATAAACTACAAATAATAATAAATATATATGTAGAGAGGGTAAGTACCATTATAGCCTTGACTACAGATTATGAATTTAGTACAAGTCCTACTTATCCATTGCATTTGTTTAAAAAATCCTGAAGAAGGTACACTATCTAAAATTAGTGTCTGTATTACTTTGACTTTATGCTTGAGTTTCTTCCTTGGAACCATTTGGACACCATCTATTAGGATCTTTCCTTAGTAATAATGGTTAAGATTTTGAAGAATGGAGCCCTATAATTAACTTCTTGAGTCAGTCTGACCTGTTTTTCAGAGATGTTGAACATAGACTTGAACCAGTAGCTGAGAAGAAAGCTCTTCTGACAGGCATCTCAGGATCATTCAGGAATATGGATTTAAGTATCTAAGTGCTCCAAAGTTCTCAAACAACTTACTCAGTGATTTTTCTTTAATGATATAAATAATGTATGCTCGCATGAAGAGATAGAAGCTAAAAAATGTCTTTTGTCTGTTGTTATCTTAAGAGTGCTATTTGTGTTCTGTTGACTGCTTGATATGCAGTTCTGGGCTATACACATGAATTTTTTTAAACTATCCTAATAAGTCTCAGTGGTGGAGAAATAGATGGTAGTGGATGATATAAAAATACACTTACAGAAACTAAGTGATTTATTCAAAGGAGACTAGATCAGATGCCAACTGAACACTACTGAACTTTCAGCAGTGATGAGTTTGTTTTCAATTTCAAAGGTTGTAAAGAATTTGTGAACCAAACCTTCAGCTGACACATATCTGTGTAATTCTCTTCATTTCAGTGATACTACTTTTTATTAGATGAGCATCTTTAAAACATGGAATGTCTTACCTTTTCATCAGGCACAGTGTTTTTTGCTATATTCCCCTTTTATTTTCCTAGAATGGAGGAATTGTGCAGACGTATAATGATGGCTGCTGCAAGACCTGTAAGTGATGAAGGCTGCAATATGTGCTAGTTTGGCTTTGATTTTGGAGGGCTTGTTTTTTAACCTCAGTTGCTGGGACATAAAGAAGGAAAAAGCATGCAGTCCCCCTGCAAATCACATAAAAATTGTTGTAGTTACCTAACTACTCTTATTAAAAGGTATTGCTTCATTTGGCTGCTGACTTGGTGATTTTTAACATTATTGTCTGGAGTATAACCAAATCTCTCCAAATATAACCCATGGAAGACTAAAAGTTATCTCAATTAAAATAATGAAGAAATTCTCTTTATTGCTAAGATGGCTCTAAAATATTGCCTATATGATTTTCACCATAAAAGATGAGGATTTTTTCCCCCTAAAATTGATTCCTAATTCAGTGACATTTTGCAATATGTCTTCAAACCTACTGATTTATTCTGTATCTCTAATATGTATTTTCTAGGGCCAAAATACTGGAATACTTTTTTTAAAAATCCCAGATGAGGAAAAGTTATAGTAATACTGAAGATAGTGACTCTTATATAAAATCAACTTTTTAGTAACTGGGAATATGTACACATTTTCTGACTGTGTAACTTTAAAATATGATGAAATGTGACTCAGGCTGACATAAAGATTTCATAATTTTTGCAATTTTAAAAATTGATTGAGAACAAACAGGTTTTTGCTGCAGTTTTGACTAAGAAAAGTTTTATTATCTAGGTATATAATTATTTATATATGAAAACCCCTTTTTGTATAAAAGTAATTTTGTAGAGCAAGAACATGGTCAACACTTCAGAAAATCCTCCCCCTCTTTTTTGGCCTTTTTTTATCTTCAACATTAGAGTAAAATATATAAGCAAATTAGTTTTTGGAATTTTTGTAGACAAATGTTTACTTAATAATATTGACTAGCAAGTCACAGACTTACAACCATATACTGTACAGTTATTACATAAAACTGAAGTGCAATGTATTTTATATAATTTGGTGAAAAAAGGGAATATTGATATTTATCTAATACAGAGCAATACCAAGTTATGCTAGTCTTAAAAAGTGAACTGTAAATACTGATATTCTATTGTATACAAAATGTAGAAAATAGCACCAAATTGTGCTACAATCTTAATGACACTATTCTTTCTTTCATGAGATAAGCTGTGTTGAAAAATATTTAACTTCCCCTCAAAATTAGGTTGGCTTTTTTTAGAAACTTAGTCTTAAGAATTATTGACTATTTGTTTACTTTTGTTCAGGAAGATTTATAATTTTGACCATATTCTGTGGCCTCAGGAAAGGCATTGTTATACTTCAGAAATACTTGCTGAGGTGGCTGCTGAAAACCCTAGATATAATTCAAACAATTATATGCTATTTTATTTTTAGTTTGTTTTATTTTTAACTAAAAGCATGTGCCCTGTGGTGAAGCAGTTAAGAAGAGTACTTACAAATAGAGCTTGCAACATATTGGGATTTTAATGGGGACAAATAACTTTTCTGAAAGACTTTGATTTAATGCATGCAAAGTGAGTGCATATATTTAATTCTTACCTTGCCATAGAGAGACTCATTGCAAAAGTTTGATTTAAAAGTAAGCATCATTCCAGTTTTGTGTTAATCAGGAGTTTAATAAAGTTTAGGGCATCTTTAGTGAGACTTGAAGCAGCTTCGCAGTTTCTAAATTGTAGAAGACTAACAGGAAAGCTTATCATCTTTTATTAAAAGAAAAATTGCAGTTGGCAGTGTAAGAATTAATGAAATGTCATTTATACAGAAATGTTTTTATTTCATGAGAATCTTCTATTCCTAATGATTCTGCCAGGTTCTGGATTGGGTCTATTACCCTTTGCCATTAATCCAGTAGTGCCTACTGATAGTATTAATTGTGAACCAGGTATAATTTTTAATACTGTATTTTCCTTTTTTTGATAATAGTGTAAGCAGTATTTGATATATATGTCATAGCTGTCATCATCATTAAATGTTACCATGCAGTTAATGGTTCTGGGCCTGATACTGAGAGATGCTGATCCTCTGTTGGTCTCCCAAATCAGTGGTTTTCTAAAGCCTGGTTAAGGCTCACTGCTCAGCACCTGTCAGAATTAGGTTCATCCATTTATGGTTATTCCTCCTGCTCTTGCTGAAATTTCTTTTAGCACATGAATTTACTATACAGGCTAGTGGTGCTAAAAACGTTACTGAAAAAAAAATTAATAATTCTGAATACGGTTACCAAGAGATTCTAAATCTGATCCCAGGTTTCTGAAATTATTGATGGAATTCTTTTTTTTTGTATTGAAATAGAGCAAGAGTGTGTGTTATTGTCTGGTCTCACCTTTGCAAATATGGATTTATGCTGTATTTCTTCTTTGTCACAAATAATGTGCTTTACAAAGTTAGGAAAATGTTGAGGGTGGGGTGGAAACACACCATTTCCATGTGGTAATATATACTTTTTACACCAGAAAATACAGAATGTTACAAAACTGTTGCATTACGCTCATAATTCTTAACTTTTTAGGGTAGGTAAGTCACAGAAACTCATTGCTGAAATAAGGAGTGAGTAACAAAGCACATCTGATATTGAATGCAGATCTTTACAGTTCAGGGTTGGGGAGAGAAAAGTATAGCATCAGTCTTCATTAGACATCAGCACTTTATATGCTGAAATGTCATATATATCTCTACATGACTTGTAGCAATACAAAGATTGCATTGTCTCTGTGTACTCATGCTGGCAAACACTTTCTAATGGAAATACCACAGAATCTTTTCTTAAGTGTTTCCGAGGAAGGAAAAGCAAGATAACAACTTCAATCATACAGTAATTTGCTAATTCAGTAACATAATCTTGTTTTACTCTGAATGCACAGATTAAAATATAGCAGCAAACCTAAGTTTTAAATACTCAGTGGAGCCGTGGCTGCAGAATATCTTGGTTAGTCAGAGCTCAATTATCTTATAAAAGTGCTCACAAGCTTCTGGGGAACAGAAGAGTTGTTCTTTTTGTGTACACCCAACCATAAAGGCATGCGTGGAAGGCTGAGAAACTCTGCTGAATAGTGCTTATTATTTTATATGCTGGATATCCAGAATGGTTCCACAGCAAAAGTAATACATGATTTTGATGGGAAGTGAAATAGGAGATCTAATTAACTTCTGTTACACAAATAGTAATAAGTCTTATATGGAGTGCAGCATGAAAAAATTACATTTTTTATTTTTAATATGTTAAAAATGGCTTTGCACTCTACAGTTTTATTTTTCAAATAGAAGGAAACAACTCCTGTCAATATCTCCCAGACTGTACATAAAAATTCAGTATTTCTCTAATCCTAGCTCTGTATGCTGACTCAGTGCTAAATACTTAAAATCTAGTGATAAAAAGTGCACCATATTTAGCAAATGGATGCATCTCTCTCTTTCAAAGCTTCCTTGAAGGACATATTTTTCAAAAATACATTGAAATTATATAATTATATTTAATTTTTAAACCTGCAAAATAGCATCAGTGTAATCACGTTCACAGCTTCACCTTCTCAATGTTAAGTTCTGAAAATTTTCTAAAATGCAGAATTAAAATCCTATTTACATTCAACATTCCCAATAAAACAGAATTAATTCTAATACTATTCAAAATTACTCGAGACACCTTTTTCCTCATTGCTTGTATTTATCTTGCCATATGTGCAATTTAAAATCATATTCGTATTTTAATATTTCTAAAGTCTGTATAGCTTATTTGGGCCACTCAATGGCTAATATGTGCTAGCTATAAAACAAATAATTCTGCACAAGAACTATTTACTAATATATTAGATTTAAAAAAAGATATGGAAGTAATAGCTTCTGTGTGTACATTAAGGAAAACAAAGTATAATTATTTAAATTATGCTAATAGTTTTACTTTTTTTAGTAGCAAATGCAGAACAAAAGGTGCATTGATTCAGTATACATTTTCTGTATTTTTTCAGGCAAAAAGGAAGAAAGAATTTGCCAAAAAATGACAATCAGGACAACCATAAGAAAAAATGACTGTATAAGTCAAAGCCCGGTAAGCATAAAAGAGCTGTTTTGATGCTGAGCCTGTGGCACACCAAATCAAGTACTAAGAAATTGGTTATAATGAACAACAAGCAACAAAAAAATGCTGCTATCTTCTCAAAAGCAGACCTTTCATCCTAGGAATGTTATCCTACTCATAAATACAGTAAAACTAGCTGTTCCAATGACTGAAACACTGAACCCTCCTACTAGAAAAACATCTGGCTTCAAATGAAAAATACACACCATAATTGCTTGTGACTAATGAAAACATTGAACTCTTTGGCACAAAAAAAATATCCCACTCTAAAAGAGGACTAGAATGTTTCAACTTACAATGTGATGGAAACTCCATTCCCCTTTGAGGACCTTTGCACTCTGTGTATCTTCTCCTGCACGTAGCATGGGTCTCCATATCATAAATTCTTGATCCCATTTATTTATGTGTCTACTTAAGACATCTTATTTCTCAGCTTTTGTGTAGCCCCATCTACAAACCCCTGGATATTTCCGAGTAGCAAATGTATTTCTCATGTAGCACTTAAAAGAGAAGCATTTGACAAAGTAGCTCAAGACTTCCAAAAGGCCTCTGGTAAGATTCTATTGAAGAACCTAAACAATCATTAGGGAAGAGGCAAAATACCATCACATATTAAAATACACCCTGCTAGAAGTTCAACAGTGATATGTTCAAATTTTAATAGTAGGGGTGTGTGGTGTATTTATTTAGTTTTAGAAGAAGGGTTGGTAAGGAGGGACTATAAATATATAGATGAAATTGCAGTAATTCTCCAGTTAAAAGAAGACACTGGAGAGCTTCACAGTTACTTTAGTAACTGTAGTACAATTTAGGTTAAGGGACAGCAATATGACAAAATAAAGACATGGTGTTGACTAAATAAAGAATATTAAAGAAAGATTTTGTCAAACTTCATAGATTTTTTAAGCTAGTTGAAAAGATCCTTGCTCTGTTGTCCAGTTCTTTGAAAATCTCTGCTTTCCTGCTGACAGAAATGCTAACTAAGAGCTACAACATTTAGGGAAATGGATAGGCAGTGGAAACAAACCCATTCTAGAGTATCTTACGATTCAGTGCTGCAGTACTAATGATAGTACTCTGTGGAGCTGTGGTGCTTCTGCATTGCTGCAGAACTACAATGTTCAGAGAGGAGCAATAAGAATGTTGGCCAAGTTATGTCTTGAATGACACAACAAATAAAACCTTCCTTTTTATGACTTTCTATTGTAGATCATATTTCCTTCCCTCTCTAACCACCTTTGAAAAAGACTCACCACCATCCAGCTTCTATTTGAATTACAACCCCCTTCTCCCAGTATCTTCTTACTCCTGATTTCCTTGATGGCTGCACACCCTTTGCAAAGTCCAGATTCCCTTACTCTTCACCCAGAAGTACCTCCAGATTTTCATGTCCTCAGAATTCTTATTCATACCCTTAGCTCCAATTCCTTTCCTCTCCAGCTCCCCCACTGGCACTGTTTTTCAATTGCGTGATTTTGGCCAATCAGATGGTAGTATCTGCTCTGACTGGTTTGGAACTACATACACGTTCTTTAACCAGATTAATACTGTCAAACTTTGGAAAGGGCAGAATATGATTACATTTCTTTAATTAATAAGTGGGATTATTAGTGCTTAGGACAAAGTCTTTTTTTACCCCCGTTAAATTTCAGAAAATTTAAAAGCTGTCAGAGTAACTTTTTGGTCTATTTTTTATGGATATGGCACATTTCATCACAGGCTGCTTGGAAGGGAGTGGATCAAAGCATCTTTCATATGCCCCACCTGCATAAGAAATCAGATCTAAAACTATCACAGAAAGAACTAGATCTATTATAGCCGTTCTTGATTTCCCAGCTATTAACACTGCTTGTTTTAATTAAAAATTATAATTTTTTTTCCTGTCAGATTATCAGATAAGAAAATTCCTCAGACAATGTAGTAGTGAGAGAAAGTGACTTCAGTCTAGAGCACACATAATTTTCTAGCCACTTTATGCCCTTGTTGATTTGTTACTGCATCTTCTTTTTGGGTACATTTCTTAGAGTGATAACACAACCCTCAGTCACAAGCAATATGAATAAGAAAGGGGAAAGCTTTTCCACTGCTATGCTTTTCCTCTTGAACCTTCAAGGAGAAAGATAGGTTTCCCTTCATTTTCCTTAGAAGAATTTAACACATGATTAAACAATAAAGAATAGTTTAATTAAAAAAAAAAAATTTAAACGTGGCTAAACTTAGAATGAATGAATTTTAGAAGTTAAACCAATTTTTTAGACCTGAGTCCTTCTCAAATGTAAAAATGGGTTTTAATCACAAAAAAGTTTGAAATGTAATATTTTTGCAACAAAATTTAAGATGTCTAATTTCAGTTCTTATTTTACTCATAGATAAACGTGGCTTCTTGTGATGGAAAATGCCCGTCTGCAACAATTTTCAATGTCAATATTGACAGCCATTTAAGATTCTGTAAATGTTGCCGAGAAATTGGAACACGTAATCTGACTGTGCCACTGCGCTGCTCAGGAAATGGCACTGAAATTATGTACATCCTTCAGGAGCCTATAGACTGCTCATGCCAATGGAACTGAACATTACTGTGGATACAATTTAATCTGAATAAATAAAATGAGTTTCCTTTCACCAGACATGATTTTTTGACCTTGGATGGTTGTAGTACTCTGCAGGATATAAAAAAGTCCTCAGTTATGCTTTATAATGTAACTTTTCACAAATTTAGTAAAGATGTTGTTTGTTATTCTTCAAATTGTCTTTTAAAATATTGGCATGTATAGAAAGAAAATGTAAATCATTTTGGACAAGGTGTAATCATCATTCGTTTCTACTCAGTGGCTTTCTGATGAGCTGTTGAAAACTAGTTAATGTCTGTGTTTCCATTATTTTAAAATTTTGGATTGTGGCTACCTATCAAAGTTGAGACTTTCTCAATGATTCATTTGCTTTGAGACCTCCAGTTGAAAACTATCACTGGTCCCATGTTTAAATGGGAAAGAGGCATATTAGCGTTTTGAGAATGACTGAAATATTTTTTTAAAAAATAGAAAGTTCAACTGCAACACTTTTTTTCTTGCTTAAAAATCTATCTTTTGTCCATTAAGCTGTTATCAATGATTCTACTCTGCTTACACTGTAAGTCACTGAGAAACAACACAACTATGATCTGTAACTACTTGTAGGAAATCTTCAGAGTGCACAACAGAATCATAATAATATCTTTGAACCTTAGACATATATTTAATTTTTATGTATATTATAAATATGAAGCATGACTAGGCAAAGGCTGAAGATTTCAAGCTTTTTTGCCTTTATAAAAATATCTAAAAGCTGTTTCTACTATGAAAAATTCTATTTTATATCCATTTCTCACTTTTCACAGAAAAGAAAATGGCTGTCTACTAGCTATAGAGTAAGATTCTATCTATATATTTATTAAAAAAACCCCATAACATTTTAACTATTCATAATGGGTTTCTTCCTTTGCTTTCCAGTCTGAAGATTTGTATTCAGTATATTTTTATAAAATGCATTTTTTAAAAAAAATACTGAGATTTGGACTCAGTCCAGGAAAAAAAAATCAGGTAAAATAAATGTTTTGAAGGGCTTAGGTGAGTTATTCGTGCTCAATCAAGCTGTGAATGTTTATGATTCAGCACCTTAGGTTGAATGTAATCTCCCCTTTATTAAACATACTCTATAATCTTCTCTTAAAAATTAAGGATACAATTTTGGGCTTGTTTTTATAAGGCTACTTTACTTTATGAACTCACTGAATGAAAATGGTTTAAAGTATGACAATATTTTCCTTATCATCAAAATTGATTCAGAATTAAAATTCTTGTCTAAAAGTCTGAAAACCTTTTGACAAACAATTTTAATTTCAAGCTGTTGTCATTTAGTTACAAAAAGGTTGGATTATCACATAGGTTAATACAATGAAAAGTAAGTAGTATAAAATTTAAAAACCCCTTTAAAATCCAAGGCTATTTTGCTACTTCGTGTGACAAATCTTTAAATGTTTGTTATATTCAGTTGGATGGCTTATAAAGAAAAATAGCTTATCTAGGGAAATCTGTCTTTACTAACAAGACTCATCTACTCATCCATATCCTTAAAAATAGTGACTTGGTTTAAAAATTAAGGAAGAATCCATTGTATTATCAGTAAAATATTTAGCCATTCTAAGGAAATCATGATAACCCAGTGATCAAAATAAAGTGACACTTTGAGAAAACATATGCTTCATTTGCACATTTTTATAATTTGTATGGCAGATGTTTCAAGTTGTATTAGATACCAGGGCCTAGAACCAAGATGTTCTCTGATACTGCTGTCAGAATTTGTGTACAGAAACTTTTCACGTGGGCAAGAAATGAAATTTAAATCATAGTCATAGCCATAGTTTATTTACTCTTACAGGAAATTAATAGAACAACTTTTAGAAGAAAAATATATCCTTAGAGCCTTTTGATTTTTTAACATAGAGATAGGAATCCTATATTTGCATTAAGAGAGTTTGGCCCAAAACTTATTAATGAATTTAGCATTTGATAAAAAGGAAGCTCTCACAATACAGCATTTTTTCCATATAATCACTGAACACTTTATGTGTTTTGATTGAACAGCTGTGTGTTTTGTAAGACATGTGCTTTTCTAAGATTTAGAACTGTATTTGTTATTAAAAAGAATTTAATAAGCATTATTTTGCAGAGTGATAATAAATCAGTGTTGATGCAATAATTTACCTTTGCCACAAAAAAGAATGCTAATGCAAAATCTTGGGCAAACCTGGAAATTAAAAAAGCAGTTATGTTTAAAATTAACTTCATGACAACCTGTAATGATATCAAAATGGTGTTAAAATATTTTTTTTTCCCACTCACCCAATTTTGTTTTTTAAAATGCAACCGTAGGGACTGAAGCCTACGGCAAAATCATACATCTTCAGTGTGGCTGGATAGGATGGCTCTAAGGTCGCCTTTCATTTTATGATTAAACTTCAAACTTGGGCTGCTTTGGCCTGGTCAGAAAGTAAACAAGATTGAAACCCATGAACCATTTCCTAGACAGCCAACCCACCGCTGTTACCTCCATGAAGATGACATTGGCACAATGTGATACATTTTATATAGCGTGAACTAATGCTTGCAGGCCTTGCAGCTGATAGAAGGTTTGAATGAGCCTACAGTGTGACAGGACTGTTCTGCTCTAAATGTTTCCTCTGTATGCAACTTAAATATAAACATAGATGCAGTTTGTTGTTCTGTCTGGGTTTTCTCATCTCTCTTCAACTCTGCATTCCTGCCTCAGATTGTGTATAACCCTATTTGCACAGATGTCTTGTAAGCTGCTTTGGAAAACTGAGCCAACTTGAATCTTACTTAGTTAAATATGAAAAATAATGTCTGTTTATTATTGACTAAAAGATCTTTAATACACACAGAGTTCCCTCTCTCCTACCCTCTCTGGAACAAAGACTCAAATAATTTCTACTCCTCTAAGAGAAAGGCTGAGAATGCATGCTTCTGAAACTCCCACACTGTCATTGAAAAATGTGAGGAGCTGAGGAGAAGTGTGCATGATGAGTGCAGTTCTGCTGCAGTCCTGCCATGCCTTGGCATTTCTCCCATTTGTAGCTGCTTCCACAGGCCCTTCATTCCTACATTGCTGCTGCTTTCTTCTACCTGTGCTTGCAGAAGAAGTTCTACAATATAAAGGATTGCGCATAAAACTATGCAGATATTTTAGGGATTAACATAAATAAATCTCTATAGTTAGAATCAGATTGTACCTGAATATGCCTCTATAAAATAGTAAGTCTTTGCCCGTATTATTTATATTTGACTTTCATAATTCCATTGCCTTATTACTAGGCCATTTGTTAAGACCAATTCTTGCCTCAATATGCAATTAGAATTTGAAACACAGCTTTTAAAACTAGGTTTAAGCCACTTATTTTGTGTTTTTATTAATAAAATCTGAGAGTATAACTATACAAGCACCTAATATTCTCCTTTTTTGGCTAGCCAAATCTGTATATTAAAAATAAGAAGTAAAACTTAATACATTTATGTGATTTATTTCACATTGTAGGCAAAGCTCTTCCCAAATACATGAACCTGTGCATTGGTGAAATTTTCAGGCAGGATCAGACCTGAAGTTTCATGTTTGAACATAGTTACAAGCCACATATAAGAATTTAAAGGAAAAATCGAATTTCCAATTATTACAGAGACTCAACTTTGTGTGAAAACTTACTGCCAAATAAACATGAAGGTACCACTTGGGAATAGTGTGGCAATGGAAAACATTAACTTGAACTGATTTTTTTGAGTTCTGTTCCATCAAATCCTTTTCCAGATGTTACCTTGAGGTGATGCTGTTGCTGTAATCGTGTGGCTGTATGTCCTATGGAAAAATCCCACAGTGGTGTGATCTAGTACATGGGACAAAACATAAATGAGTTGTCACACATAGCCATAGCAATATAGCAATCGTGGAGGGGTAGCATGAAGGCCAGAACACTAGCAGAAAATTTGTATAGTTGCAGGGAGGTATTGGTTGGATTTCACACTGCCAACTATTCTGGGGAATATATTTTCAAAAAAACATTCACATGAACATAAAAAGTCTTCTGAGGGATAGACTTCAGGGATAGACTTAACATTGATGCAAAAGAAAAGAGGCTTTTATTAAAAGAAAGGTTATGGTTGAGAGGGTCTGTGCATAACATTGTGTACTAAATTTTCTCTAACCTTTCTTTAAGTGCCGAGTGGAATATGCAAACTACCTATATAACAAGGAAACTTAGAAATTATCTATCCATTATCATTAACAGCTTAGGATGGAAAGGCATCTTCAGAGCTGAAGGAAAATGAACTGTAGCAAGTGCAAATACAATACATTGACCAGATCTTAGCAGCCACACACTGATCATTTAAGAATTTTTGCCTATTTGGAAAAATAATTCTACATATAGACCAAATAGGTGGTCATATACCTATGGAAATCAGTGGTAAAATATTCCCTAAGATCCAAAATTTGAGAATCTTACTGCAAGGAGGTAGTCTGAAGAAATGTCTTATATGTGTAGTTTCTACTTTCATAAGTCTTATACGTGTAGTTTCTACTTTGTATGAGGGAACTTGAAGAAATGCTTTTGTACTGATGTTGCATTCTGGAGAAAACCAGTAGTGGATGATGTTAAAACTTAATCACTAGAAATGCTGAATAAAAGGGAGTGGTTGTGTTTTCGGGAGTGTTCTTTTGATTAAGGTGGAATGTACACACATGCTTAATTTGATGAGGTTAATGCAGAGAGGGCTTCTGCTGGTGTCTTGAAAATTGCTTAGTTAATAAAGCCTCCCTTTGTGCTCAATGGATATAAATTTCTCTGGGAAAAAATGAGTATGTCTGCTTTGCAAAACAGCTGAATAGGCAGTAGCTAACTTTTGTCATTGATAGCTAAACCAGCACTCAGGTGATTACACTCGTGTGTGCTTCTCAGAGAGGGAGATTGACTCAGTGTTTTGAGATCAGGGGTTTCATTGAGGCAGCTTTTGATTTACTATGTGTGTCCTTGAGCCAGAGTAACATAAAAGCTCCAAAATGGTATTTTTCTGGTGAGAGTAAGCCTGCCTTGTTTACTACAAGTTATAAATAAAGCTTTAGTTAAAAATTTTATTCCTTATTTCACAATTCACAGTTCAGTTGCATACAGTTTTAGTAAAAATCAGGAAAAACCCACTGAGAAACAAGACACTATCTCAATGTAGAAATATGATATGATGATAGCACCTAAGAAAATACACAGTAAATAATATGAGTGCTTCTCATTTTTATGGTACATATATGGTGGCACTGATTTTTATTTATTCTATTATTAGTAAACAATTTTTATGAGCTTATTAAGCTAATTTAATTGCAAAGAACACAGTGCAAAACTAATTTTTTATTTAAAATGTTAATTTGGGGAGGGCTAAGGCACTGGGAATTATATTGAGGTAGGTTTAACTCTGAAATTGCCGCTTCAGATCTGGCCAAAGGTGGAGATCACCTAATATATTTTTCGGAGCTGAGTTCTTGTTCAGGAGCCTGAATAGATCAGTAAAATAGATCAGTGGTCCTACCACTATACATTCTTGCCTATTCTTTGTTTATAGATTTTTATGCTGGTAACTTTTTGTGGGACCTCTGTAAGATCATAATACATATAAATGGGCTCTGCAGCTGTGTTTAGTGCTTCCATGGAAAAGTGTTTCAAGGCTTATTTTAAACACTGATGAAGGGGCATCTGGCTAGAAATGTGTATTGTAGAAAACAATCAGAGTCTGGAGAAAAGTAAGCAAGGGGTTACACTGATTTTAATGAAGTTTGATCTGGTAATCACATAGAAACTGAAAAAACCTGACATTTTTTACGCTGAGTTGTTTTTAAATTACTACAAACAACAGTCACATCCACAGTTCAGTGAAGTTAAAGGAAAGCCTTCTGATCTCAGAAAACTTTATATGAGGCTTGGGAAAAGGCAGGGCCAGAGCAAACACACAAATCTCGGGCCCACCATTGGCTGGTGCTGTATCCATGTGAAGTATAAATATGTGTATTCATTTTTCCCTTGTATCTTAGATATTCTAACATGATTTTGCTTTGAAGCTGTGGTGATTCAAGCACTTCAGAAACACGGGGACTATAACATTTCTTTCTCTATGGATCAAGCAATTCTTCTGCTGCTTTTATTAAAATGTTTGTTTAAGGTAAGAAAAATACTCTGTGTTTTGAAGGTGGATAGCTATTCTAATTGAATGTTGAAAATAAGTGGTTTGTGATTTGGACTGGTTTTTTTTCCTGTTGTTTTAGCAGTCGCGGGAGGCTCTCATTAGTGCTACTGAACATTCCTAGTCTTCCTTCTATTTAAGTTGTTGGAAGCTCTTTTGAGATCCTTAGTCTCTTTTATTTCCTGCTGCTTTGGATTTAATGTTGCTCCCCAGAAGAAGTAACATCTTTAAGTAAACTTTTAAACAGGTATGGGGTAGAGTAAAAACTTTGGTGAGTTCAATATCATACCTCTGATAGTGGTAAAAAGCAGATCTTTGGGGAGGACTGTGAGAATAGCATATGAGAATTATCTATACTGTTTTAGCTTCCCACCATTTGCAGCTTAAGGACTTCTTGAAATGGATGTATTTGCAGTGCATTTTGTTAACTTCAATGTAGTTCACTTCTATGAACTTTTATGAACATGAATGGGCCTTCTCTGACACCCCTTGAAATTTTTATTACTTGTTTTAGCTTTGTCAGATAAATTATTTATTTTGTGAAGAACTACCTTTTTTGGTTGTTGCTTACTTTGAACCTGGATCATACCAGCTATGCTTCATCCTTTACAGTGCTTGTACTTGAAGAGCGAATGAAAATCAATCTCTGCTCAATTCTGGCTACTTAAGACCTCTGCTGTATTTTCCCTCAAGTGCCTCTTTTTCAGACTGAGAAGCCTACTTGAGTCTTGTGTTGAGAAGTAGTCGGTAGCAGAAGTCAATAAGTGTTTGGTTTTTTTTAGGTTTCCTGGCTGACGTGTAGCTAACCTGAAAATAGATTTGATCCTTAGATGTTTGTGCTCAATTTAATAATATTTTTTTTTTCTTTTTTAAATTGCTGCAGTCTTTGGACAAGGACCTAAAAATTACTGACAAGGTGCTGAAAAAAAAAAAGGGACATTCTAAATCCCTCTCATTGGATATAAGTATGGAACAATCTCTGGGTACACTTGAAAATGTGGTTCTTGTCTTTTAGGTTTAAGGAGGTTTATTTATGTACAGTAAAATGGCATACATTATTGCTGATGGTGGAAAATTATTTTAAATGGTTAATTCAATTATTGCCAAATATATATTTTTTATCTTTAAAACCAGATTTTCTTACCCTTTGGATTCTCTGCAGTAGATTGTTTACAGGGAACGCAAGTCAGCTATACACCCATTAATTAAAGCCTGCAATTTTGAGAAAAAATGTTCTCAAAACTCTTGTGTGTATGCCATGAATACTAGTCTAGTGTGTCAGTTCATCCCAGTGGTTTTATGTAGCCTCTTCTAAAGAATTTATAGAAGTTAAAGGCTTTATAACCTTTATAAAGTATATACTTCAAAAAGTATAATCCAAACTCTGAACACTAAATCTTGATAGATTTATAGTTACGTTAGTTTGTCATTAGTTAAAGGAAGTTATGGTAAGCTAAACTGAATTCAAGGGTATGTTGTATTTAAAAAAAAAGGAAAAAGCTGAATGTTTTTGCTTTTTATATGCATTGGGTTTTTTTTGTTTGTTTTGTTCATGGGGTGGGGGGGTCGTACAGGGAAGATTACTTTACAGGACAACACAAAGTAATACAATAATAAAACTCCTAACTTTTATTTTAGTGTCCTAGGGGTTTCTATTTGATTTTTATTTCTGTTTAGGTTTTTTGAACTGGATTTTGAGTTCATTGCTGAATGATGGCATTTGTCATCTCAATTCATAAAGAAAATAAAAATGGAACTTAAAAGACAGAACTGCATCTTTTATAAATGCTATGTGATAGGGATTGGCATCACATGCACCAATTTATCTGAATTTGAGAGGTGTGATTCAGATTATATTAGGCAGAAGAAGTCCATAAATTTCTGATTCCAAATGAAATTCAAATAGAGAAGGAACCTGTTTCTCTGATATGTTAATCCAAGTCTTTCAAAGGCAGGTAAAGTTATCAAAAAGGTAGTATCAAAACTACAGAAGACTTTTGTCTGGAATGAGTTGACCGCTGTAAGAATTTGAAACAGAATCACAAAATCACTTAGGTTGGAAACGACTTCTGAGATCACCAAGTCCAACCTATGACCCAACACCACCATGTCAACTAGACCATGGAACTAAGTGCCACATCCAGTCTTAAGACTGTGCCCCCTTGTCCTATTGCTGGTTGCCTGGGAGAAGAACCTGACCCCCACCTGGCTACAACCTCCTTTCAGGGAGTTGTAGAGAGCGATAAGGTCTCCCCTGAGCATCCTCTTCGCCAGCCTGAACAACCCCAGCTCCCTCAGCCTCTCCTCATAGGACTCCAATCCCTTCACCACCTTGTTGCCCTTTTTTGGACTCACTCCAGCACCTCAACATCCTTCCTGAACTGAGGGGCCCAGAACTGGACACAGTACTCCAGGTGTGGCCTCACCAGTGCTGAGTACAGGGGCAGAATCACTTCCCTGGTCCTGCTGGCCTCATTGTTCCTGATACAGGCCAGGATGCCATTGGCTTTCTTGGCCATCTGGGTAGACTGCTGGCTCATGTTCAGCCTGCTGTCAGTCAGAACTCCCAGGTCCCTTTCTTCCTGGCTGCTCTCCAGCCACTCTGTCCCCAGCCTGGAGCACTGCATGGGGTTGTTGTGGCCAAAACAAAATGAAGTTTGTACTGCCATGGCTAAACTGGATTGGTAGGGAGGTGTATAATTTTAATAAATTATTTCTTTACATCTTGAACATTGTTGTTTCTTATCTGAGACATTTGAAAATTTTGAAAGTGGTGCCACTAAAGTCTTTAATGCATAATGGAAGAATAGGACTGAGACCTCCAGACTGTCTGTTGCGATTACAGCATCTATGTTGCAAGTGAAATCTCTGACCTTGTTTCTAAAATGATGACATATTTCTGTCATATTTGGGTCAACTGACATGGTTTGGCCACCTCGAGAGAGAGAAAGAAAACTAGAACCTGTACCTGCAGAACTTGTAAAAAATTATGAAGCCTCTGTATGTCACACAGTAGAGCTGGTGATACTGGTCCATATAAAAACTGTTGCTAGCTGAAAAGCTATAGTTAAAACCAGTTAAAATTGACAGAATTTAATTATTTAGTTAGAGGTACATTTTCTGCATTTTCTACTAAGTTACATTCTTGTATGTTTCTGTTACAGGGTTTAGAGTGTCTTGACTGTGACCAAGGGAAAATGCCTGCTAGAGCAGTTTCGATAGAGTGGACTGAATTGCCCAAAGGGGAGGATCCAGACTACTATATTGTGACATACCAGCAAACAGATGCTTTCAGTCAAAAAGTAAATTTCATCAGTCTAAGCACTGAGTAGTTCCATATGTTTTTAAGCTGTAAATAACAGTAACTAGTAGCATTGTGTTTCATTGTTTTTTTTTTCTAATTCAAAATAGCAAATCAAGAGAAAGTTTTAAAAAATTTTACTGAATTTTGTAATTCATGTTGTTTATGTGCACTCTTACAGAGTCTTCCTTAAGCCAGTGGAACTTAAAAGACCTTCAAGTATTCTGTTGAATAAGGATAGATAGGCATATGTTGAAAATTAAGGATATGCAAGATCTTCAAGGAGAAAAAACCTTTGAATGAGGAGTCTAACTTCTCCAGGAGAGGCACAGACACTACTCCTACCTCTCTGTGGGAGGGTATTGTTCTTATTTTGAGTACAGGATGTTCTGAAACATAAAGAAAATAAGAGGATTTCAATATGAAGGTGTTTGTTAATAGTGTGATTTCTAAAAGGTTTTGTTTTAAATATTGGGTATTTTGCAGTTTAAATGAAGCCTTAAGTTTGATATGCTGCAATATCAGCTGCCCTTTAAAAAAGTTTATAGATAATTTATGAATTGCATTTTTATTACTTTCACTATATTCAGAAATTCTTTTAACTTGCAGATTGTAAGAAACATTTCTAAAGTTGAACAGGAACCTGTTAGTACTACAGTTCTGCTTGAGGAAAATAAGAAGTATGATATAACAATAGAATCTCTAAAGAATGGGCAAATCTTAAGTGTAAAATCATTTAAGACACGTAAGTAGAGTAGCACAAAAATATATTGGTATCTTTATAATTAATCTATCACTGAAGATTAGAGAAGCAGGGGTTTAAATCTAGAGGTTAGTCATGTATTTAGAAACTTTGAATTGATTTATATTTTCAACTGTGAGGGATAGTAGGAATAATTTCATATAACATATTTGTTTAATGTAACAATTCTGAAATATGGGACTGATGTAAAAGTTAATGAGACTTTTAAATACCATAGCTTTTGCTATGCTACAGTAATTCTAGGAGAAAAGATTTATAAAAGAAGATCATGGAGAAAGTTACTTAAAGCCTGACAATTTCATATCAACATAGGGTTGTGATTTTTTTTCTTTTATAGCTTAAAAAAATTAAATATTTTTGTTTTTGCTTCATGACATTCCCACTTTAAAAAGAGTTAGTTAGTGGCTTGAAGGCTTTAGCATTGTGACTCACTGGAACAGACTTTTAGTATAAGAATTTGTGAGTCTGGTCACTGAGCTTATAAAAATATCCTCTACAGCTGTAAATCTGTTTAGGATCATAAGTCCCACCAATTACTAAAATGAAAGGGCTTTCTAATCTTAATCTCATTAATTAAAATAGTTTATAGCATTACCTTTGTACACATTACAAGCTCACGCTAGCTTTGGAATACAGACTAGGATATGAATACAAACAACATAATTGGGAAAAATACACAGTTGAAAACATTGCAGCAGTTGTTGAATGCTGAAAGTACATTCAGCAAGCTACAGAAAATGGTTCATGGTTATGCTACTAATGTGTTACTGCACTGGACATCTATTACTTAACTGCTATTCTATAAAAGTATGTACTTTTACAGCTAAACACACCTTAAACCGTGGAGTTTTATTTCTTTTTGCTTCAGACATAAGTTTACGTACCGTGACAATAATTAAACCATGACTTTTTTAATGACACTACCTTTCTTTCCCTGCTGTGTGTATCGCTTATCATTTCTCAAAAGAAAAACATAATAATGTTAATGGAACTCTGAGTTAATTATTCCTTTGTGGTAAAGATAGTGTCTATTTTCTCTTGTTGCACTAGGTGGAATTTCAGAAAATTGCATAAAAACATTTGTAACAGCTACTACAGTGTCTTTTAACTGGAGTATGGTGACCAAAGAATTTTCAGTTTCTGTTTTACTGAACGGTACTTCTGAGATTATAAAAAGACCCAGTGGATTCTTTGTATGGAGAAATTTGACACCTGCCACCTTATATACATTCAAGTTTATATTTGAGCAATTACATCTTGAATTTGTAAATGTGTCTCAGTCACTGGATGTTCAAGCCGAAACAGGTATATATTAGAGTTTCTTGTAGTCACAATGAATGCAGGTTAGTACTGCACATTTTCTAGATAAGTTAAGAGTAAACTGTAAAATCCTGTATTCCATTTTACAGTTTATAGTAGAATCATAGAATCATAGAATAGATTGGGTTGGAAAAGACCTCCGAGATATGGATTGTTTTAGTTCTGGAAAGAAATTGAATGTTACTGACATAGAAAAGTTATTTCTACTTACTATTTCTTAGTATTTTTAGTAGGAATAATTCGGATTTTTATGTGCAAATATTTTAAGCTAACTGTATTTTTGCAGTCTAAAATAGAGTCAAGGCAATGTTGAAGTTAAGAGTTGTCATTATTTGAGTGTATGTATTGAATTTGCTACATAATTTCAAGGAAAAACAATGAAAATCCTGAATTTGATAAGCATTTGGAACACTTTTTACAACATTCAAAATACGGAGGAATGGCTAGCCTAGTTTTGTAAAAGAGGCAGGATTCTGAGGATGTTAGGGCTTAGTTGTGTAATTTTAATGTAATTTTAAACATGCTACTCTGATAATGCAACTTAAAATCTTTAAAATTAGAAAAAGAAAGAATAATATACAGTCGAAGTCAAGGGAATAATTATTTTCCTAAATTCAGGAAACTATTAAAAGCAGGTTATTTGTTAACTTCATTTTTAATGTTTAAAAAAATGAACCATTGGAAACTAGATTTAAAGAATGATATTTTTTCTGGAGTAGGATTGAAAATTAGTGAATATCTTTCTTTTTTCCCCCCCTTCACTGGCTTGTAGTTAATATTCTTCTAATTCAGTCAGATTTTTAAGACATTCAAGATTATGAAGGACTGTTGACTCATAATTACTGAATATTTGGGGGGTTGAAATCTTGCACTGTACCACTGACATGAATGATACAGCATCTCTTTAAAATCCTGTCCTTCACCTATAGGCACCTGTTCCCAAGGGTGGGTGGCATTCCAAAGCAGCTGCTATCGAATGGGTAAGGAGAGCAAGCCATGGAAATCAGCACAACAAACCTGTCAAACGTCTTCTCAAGGGGCACATCTTCTTGACATAGGGAGTGAAGAAGAATATGGTTTTATGTTGTCATATCTCCAGAAAATTAGTCGAATAATCATGATATGGACAGGTCTTAATGACTTAAAGGTCAGTCTATTTTATCTTCTTTGCTATTACACATATGGAAGCAAGAACATTTTGATATGTAGAGCCCGATTGCTTGGAATAAAAGTTGTTAAACAGTACATTGGTTATTTGTTTATATAGTTATTAGTAATGAGAAGAGGAATCATTATTTCTTCCTGTTTAGAAATACTGAAAATAGCTGTGGAAAAAACCATGTAGTTTATACATAACCTGTTTAACTTTCCTCTATGTTATGTATGTGTGTGTGTGTATTTCCCTGGGATATTGTTTTGCCTGTAGGTGGTGCTGTATTACCAGATTTTAGATCTTAGTTTACACAAACGTTACTTACTATGGTTACCAAAGTCCGGGATTGGTTTACTCAGTTTTGATGCAGGTCTGAAATGTTGAGTGTTGAGCTTAGGGACGTCAATCCAGTATAGATGCTGGATAGCCCAGTGAAGAAGGAATTGGAACAAGGTATTTCTTGTAAAAGGTTTCCTGTTCCTCATATTTGAGATATGAAGGTTCTTAATGCTGCATCTGCTGTTACAATGATTCACGGTGGTGTGGTGTCTGATGGTGGTCTGATTTGGGGACAACTACAGACATAAATAAAATATTGGGAAAGTGTTTAGAATGATGGAGGTATTTGCCAGAAAAGTGGAATCCAGTCTTCTGTAATTTGGTTTAGTGAAAACTTCTTTTAAGTATCAGGAGGTTGGGAGAAAGCCACTGTTTTTCGGTTTAAAAAATCTGCACTTTGAAATTTAATTTTAATATTGTTTTGATCAAATTATTTTAAAAGAAATGCTGTGAAAACAGTAAAACTAAAGCAAACCTTATGTGTAAGAGCAAGAGTGGTAAGTGTCATGCCACCTCAAAGACAGAAAAATATTTTTTACTGGCTGGGGCTACACAAGCAAGCCAGAGTAGGATAACATACAGACTGAAGAAACACAAATCTGTCTAGGTTTGTGGTTAGTGAAGCACTCTAACCATCCTGGTTAATAAAGCACTATTAATATATGCATTTTACATGTAATATTATTTTGTATATGACACTGTAGAGTCGCTTCTCAAATGGCTGTAATTATTACACCATGGTGATATTCATCATAATCAACTTGGTATTTTAGAAATATAGGTATTTGTAAGTGGCTGCCAGAAATAGATGTCCCATGGAAGCATAATATTTTGGTGTGTTGGAAAGAGTACTAGAAATTTGGGGGGTTTTAACTCTGATTACACAGAAAAGAGTTAATTGCCAGTTTGGAATTTGACTGTTAGTCAACTGTTTAATCATTACATGCATTTTTATGTTTGTGGGAGTTAGTCAGTTAAATGAACTAGATGAGTACCATGTCTTAAGAATAGTAAGGGATAATAATAAAATGCTTGTTTTTCGAGCACTTCTTTCCTAATTGTTTGTACTTAATTAGTGTTTTCAAGTACTGAATGAACATATTTCATTCTGAAGTGTCATTGTTGTCATTTGTTCTCATTTTATGAGAACTCTAAATTGTACTTGCATCAAATTGTACTTACCTCAGGAGCTCAAAGATCAACCAGGAGTTGCAGGATTTGTTTAAAATATGAGATAAAAAATACAGATTAAATTATTTTTCTTTCTCATTCATATTTGAAGCACTAGGGAGTTAAATTTCTGTTTTCAAGTGTTTTTCTCTCTAAGTACCCATGGGACTTGAAATATTTAATGAGAAGAAGTTGAGACTATAACCTACTCAGAAGATTTCAGCAGCTTTCAGTGCCAAGCACTGTGACACTGATAAAAATTAGTGACGTTGTGAGCAACATTAGTTCTGTAGCATTTGTATTCTCACAGTGTCTCCTTCTTTAACCCTACTTTGATCTGTATCTGAATAAAAACCATTCCTGATGAGGCTGAACATTCTTGTGAAAAGCAACAGAGACCCTGGAGATGTAGGTCTGTGCCTTGGGTAAGAATGAATGTAATGCTTTGGTGGTACCCTCATGTCCCTCCTGACATGTTGTGCAGTTCTTCAGAGCTAGGAAGTGGTAAAGGTAGCCAAAGATTGTTCACTGAGGTTTCTCTTACAGACCTTGCTGCAGAGGTTTGCATCATAGTAGTATCTTGTGATTTCCTGTGCTTGTTGTTAACTCCGGTGACCAAGAAGACCAGTATAAAAAAATTTTGATCTATAGAGCATTTCTGAAATGGCAGAGTATACCCACAAGTCCTCCTGAAAGTCAAGTTGAATTATTTCATACCACTGAAGATCTTCTTTGCTTTCCTGGGGAAATGACTGATATCACAATATTTCACTTGATTTTTTTTTCCAACACAAATTAATTGAAAAAATAGTCTCAGTCTCAACAAACATGAGTTTTTATTGTTTTCTCAGAGCAATGGAAAAAATCCTTTTTTCTCCTCCTCCTCCCCACTTTTGAACATCTTTAATAAAAGAGTAAACAACAGAAGACTTAAAATGATGGTGGTACCTCAACTTTTCTCCATTACAGTACTTAAAGCATTTACTTAGGCTGTAGGACCATGGACTTGCTATGCCTGAAAGCACTTTATGCACTGAGAGTGCCCCAATGCCATGCAGAAATGTGCTGGGTTTTCTATTAATCCCCTGTAGAAGTAAGTATATGTATGTTAGTGCAGTGAAGACTGAAACCTGTCTCCCACTAGAGGGATCTGCGTTGCAATGCTGTAAGCATATTCTACAGGCATCTTTCCTCCAAAATATCATGTTGCCCCAGTCTAGTACCTGAAAGTACCTCAAAGGTCAGAAACTTGGAGGGAGGTGTGAGTGTGTCCTAAATGCTGAGCAACCAGCAAACATGAGAAAGGAGAAAGATAACATTTTCTCATCCAGTTGTGAATCTAGTCATGTTTTTTTTTCAGCTAAATATTTTTGCTTTCAGATGGGATTTATGATTATTTTACGCTGTTTTGTTGGGGTTTTTTTAAAGTGAATGACATTTTCAGAGAATTATCTATACGAGATTATTAAATTATTTGATTAATAGTGATTTTAAAGATTTGTTTGTAATGATGAAACATACTCATGTGGCTTATATTATGTTATTAGCTTGTAATCTTTTGTAATAGAAGAGATAGAATTTTACACTGAAACATTTACTTTATTCCTATATAATTAATTTGTATAAATGAAGTACTTAAGTTTTGTATGTTTAGGAAATACACTTACAATGAGAGAAGCCTTAATAATTCATCATTATAATTTAAAAATACATGTTTTTCTAATTTTTTTTTTAATCCAGGAAGAAGGTCAGCTCTTGTGGACAGATGGATCTCCTTATCTTCTAAAAGCTGGCATCTCATCTTTGTCAATGATACCAGAAAACCAAACTGACTGCTATGTCCTTCAGAGAGATCCTACTGGTCCAGATTATTTCTTCACAGGATTTTTCTGCTATGTACAGCTGCCATATATTTGTGAATATGAATGTAACTATATTTTTTCAATCTTTTGCATTTATTTTTAAAAACCTTCCCCTTATTGCATTTATATTTGAAGATACAAATATATATATATAAAAGGTTTTAATGAAATTTTTTTCACTTTTACTTTTCTTTTTCAGTACCTTTGGTACCAGAGAACATCACGTTTAGTGTGCATGATGTCAAGACAACTGAAGCTGCATTTATGTGGAGTGATATGGGCATGTGGCTTAAGTCAGGCTTTGCACTTATAATCAAGTACTATTTTGATCAGGGGAAACCATACATTCTGAACTTGCCTGTTAATACAACTCAAACAAAAATTGTGCACTTGTCTCCTGGCCTTCACTATAGTTTTTTATTAGCAGCAAGGAACTCAGAAGGAGCACAGTCTGTCTTAAGTCCAATTCTGAACGTAGAAACAAGTAAGTAACAAAAATAAATAGCAGTAATAACCAGATAATCATACACTTTTAATATTTTTTCCTTTAATTAAACAAGTTCCTGTGTTGATATTTTGTCTGAAAACATAAGTAAATCTGAACATGAATTCTGATCCAGTATTTACTAGCTTGTAGAGTGGATTCCAAAAACTTCATTTAGGTTTGTACTAAAATCCTTTCTTGGAATTGATTAAGAAAAGCTCAGAGTTTTCAGTGGCTGCAAGAACAAAGCCATACAAATTCTGTTTCTGTGAAGTATATTTTAAAATCTCATTATTACAATAATTTTACTCACAGAGTTTCTACTGATGTCCAAAGGTAAAGCTGGATGTCAGAGTAGCAGTAAAGTATTTTTTGGCTATGCTGGTGAAATTCAGAAACATATTTTCAAACCTGAAGTAAAAGATTATGTCAGAACAAGCAGAGGTATCCCTGTTTATCTGCAGTTAAGATTAAGATGATCTCTATGGTTTAAAAATCCATTGTATTTTGACCTGCTGTGTGATGCAATATGTCCTAAGTAAAATTCATTCACAATTAACTTGTATTCCCATAAAGTCTAGCTGAATGAAGCCAAATGAAACCTACCAGTTGGTAGAGATGAAAAATGCCTTTTCACATAAAAGTGATCAAGTGGAGATATCCTGTTTTGGTGATGCTGGGGAAGTTTTCTCATTTTCAGAAGTTAAAGAAAACGTAGTGCCCTAATGTTTTTACCAGTCCTGGCAAGGCAGTTCAAATATAGCTAGAGGTCTATTTTCTTAGAGTTAGAATAAAATACAGGTTAATCTTTAGGTGAAAGAAGCTATTCTTTTCCTCCATCATATACGTTTTGTACAGTTCACTCCCTCCTCTGGGCTTTAGTGCACTTGGAAGTTCTGTCATATCCTGTGCCTACCAAACTCTCTTCTCTTTGGTTTCTGTTTAAAAGACCTTGTAATGCAAGTTGCCTCTATAATGAAGAAAATATATTCCTGCTTTCTCCTATGCAAAGCAACTGTAAGAGGTGGGCTTGTGTGAACTTAGTGAAGCTCAACAAGGCCAAGGGCAAGGTTCTGCACCTGGGTTGGGGCAATCCCAAGCACAAATACAGGTTGGGCAGAGAATGGATCAAGACTAGCCCTAGGCAGAAAGACTGGGGAGTCTTTGTGGATGAAAAGCTCAATATGACTTTGCAGTGTGCACTTGCAGCCCTGAAAGCCAACTGCATCCTGGACTGCATCAAAAAAAGAGTGGCCAGCATATCAAAAGAGATGACTCCACCCCTCAACTCTACTCTTGTGAGAGACCCCACTGTGTCCAGGCCTGGGGCTCCCAGCACAGGAAAGATACTGACCTGTTGAAATGAGTCCAGAGAAGAACCACTATGTTAATCAGAGGGCTGGAGCACCCCTCCTGAGGAGATAGGCCTTAACTGAGAGAGTTGGGGCTGTCAGCCTGGGGAAGAGAAAGCTCCAGGGAGACCTTTTAGTACCTTCCAGTGCCTAAAGGGAGCCTACAAGAGAGCTGGAGAGGGACTTTTCGTGAGGGCATGTAGTGGTAGGACAAGGGGGAATGGCCTTAAGTTGAAGGAGAGTGGGTTTAGATTAGATAATAGGAAGAAACAGTGGTGAGGCACTGGAACTGGTTGTCCGGAGAGGTTGACTCTCCATCATTGGATGTGTTCAAGACCAGGCTGGTCTAGAAGGAACTTTGAGTAATTTGGTCTAGGGGAAGGTGATCCTACCCATGCAAGGGGGATAAGAACTAGATGATCTTTAAAGTCCCTACCAACCCAAACCACTCTACGATTCTGTGATTCCGCGAACTTGGGTAATGCATACCATTTGTCTTAGATGATATTTTTGAACTGACTGAAATATAAGAGACGACCTAAATTCAGAGGCTGAGTTCTACATGAAGATCTAGGTGATTCAGAAAATACCTCAATTAGAGAGTAGTATTCTCTATGTGTCGATATTCACTGTCACTGATACACTGTCCAGGTTGCCTTGTTAGATTTGCTCTAATACTCTTGAGCCTGTGTGTAAGCGGGTATTGTGAGGTTTTCAGGCTCTATTTAAAAGAAACAAAGAAAGAAGCAAGCAAAAAGACCCCCCAAATATCCCACAGTTATTGCTGAAAGGCACGAGTAACTATTGTCTTGTTTCTATTCCTAATCTTATTCAATAGGACCCTTGCACTCCCAGAAGTTAGAGGCTACATATGTTTCATCTGCAGAAATACATTTAAAATGGAATCCTCCACAGCATTCATCCAGTGTTTCTTTTCATTACTACCTTGTCAACGTGTTGGATACTGAAACCAACATCTGGGAACAGTTGCCAGTTGAAAAAAGCAAGACTTCAATAGTCATACGAAATATAAAACCTTATCATCACTATCAGGTATATTTACAGAACGTAGCAGAGAAAGGAACTCTCAGCTGCCATGAGAAACCTATATTAGTCACAACAGGTGATGTATCCATTTTTTAAGATGTTTTATTTTGCTAGACAGAGTTTAAATTGAAAATACAAGGCATAAGGGTATTTTTAAGGCCTTGTACACATTGTGGTTGTTGGGATATTCTTCAGAATCTTCCAAAATTGTGAATATACCAATACTCTTATTTATTTTTTCATTTACCTACTTACAGCATATTAGTATGAGATAAAGAAATGACATTCTGCTTGAGAAATACTGATTTATAGTTTGTGTCTTTAATTTTAGCGAAGTAGAAACATTAGAGTGATTTCTTAAATTTTTTTTTAGGTGAAAACAGATTACTTTATTCTTCTAATTATAGATACAGAGACTCAGACTGTGTCATCTTTTTACTCTGTATATATCCGGTGGAATGGAATATACTTGCAAAATAAGTCTCTATTTGTTATGAGAAAACAGAAAATACAATCTGCCTGTAAATCATTTTAAGAAATAAGTAAATGAATCAGTAGTTCTAGAATCATGACATTTTAGAAGAAAAAAATAAACCAGAGACATCATTGGGAAGTGATTGTAAGTTGATTGTAAGTTTGATATATGGTTTTATACTGACATCTTTTTCTTTAATCAAGCTGTCAGTCCACCGACAGCTGTTTATATTCACCCAGAGGATGTACAAGAAGAGAGTGTGATCCTTCACTGGAAGCTGCCACAAGAGTGTCAGGAATCCTATGTTCAAGTAAAACCTAATGCAGGCATGGGTGAAACTAAAAAGTTTATATTAAGCAATACAGAAGAATTTAAGATTGATCTCCTAATTCCTGGAAGGACTTATGAAATAGCAGTGGCAAGTGTGAATAATGGAGCTATGAGTGAACTGAAGACCATTCAATGCACTTTAAGTAAGATATTGTTTATGGTGGAAACTACAGACTATAGCACACATCGGTCTAACTATTGTTGCTACGTCTAACAGATTTTGTAGATCAAATCAATTTGCTAAATACCTAAGGATCAAAACTAAAATATAAAATGTACAGATCCAATCCTAGTTGTTAACAGAAAAGTTAGCAATTTTTGCAAGGAGGGTACAGCCTTGGAAAATGCATTGGTAATAGTGACAACTGCAATAAGGACCATAGCTGGAAATCCTGTTACAACTGGCAGAAGAAACTGGGTGAATCATTGATTTGCATTGAAATAGGAAAATACGGGAATGGTTGAAACAACCTATTTATTTTTGAAGATACATTAGTTGTTCTGTGAACTGTGAGAAAGAAATTGCCCTACCATTAGTGAGAGGGCAGTAGGAAAGGGAGTAGAAAGAGTTAGAAGTAGCAGTAGGTGAAAAGTAAAAGCTTTACATTGTTTATCAAAGGGTCTTCCCCATCTGTAGGGAAAGGTTTATTGAAGGATCTTAGTTTACCAAAATGTTGAAATGCTTTTGGTGCAGTTTAAATTTTTTGCATATGAGAAAGGAATGGGCAAGATTCACTTGGTATTCAAGTGGTATTTAAAGGCTACAGCTGTCAGATTATAGATACATGAAATACTGCATTGTAATTTTTTTTTTCTAAATGATTACAGTATTTTGGAGGGTAACAGTCTTAATCTTTTTTCAGAATTTTTTATATAGGATTAGATTTAATACCTCATTCATGACACAGATGACAAAATTCTAGATGAGATATTTCACAGCTGTCAGAGCCAACTGTAAGGGAAGAAAACTAAACACGTCAATGTTATATTCATCAAACCTATCTCATTCTCCATGGTCATCTCCCTGTCCATATTCACATTTCTGTATATTTTTCCAGCTATCCTGCTTACCTTCCTAGTGCAGTTCTAGTTGAGAAGATAATTCCAGTAATAAAAACTTAAAAGATCAGGTTGTTCTTTGTTTCTGAGAAGTGATGTTTTACTGTGATAGCTGTTAGTTTTTGCACTGGGCAAGCATATTTCTCAGCAACTCAGGGTAGTTGCTTCAGATTAATTATGTGGTTTTCATTTAATTTATTTTCAACTGATTTAACATGTGGCAATTTTTTTTTCTTTTTTTTTCTTTTAGAGCCCAAGCCTGTTCAAATTGTAGTTCCTTATGGGCTTTATAGCAATGCTGTGATACTATTTGTTCGCATGCCTGATATTGGAGTATTTGATGGCATTTATGTTACAAGTAAAGAAGGACCTAATGCAACATTCACTTTAAAACGTGATGGTAAAATAACAATTGAAAACCTTACTGCAGGAACAGAATATGATTTCTGTGTTTCCACAAAAAGTGGAAAAATGTTGAGCTCCTGTTACCATACATATGGTGTAAAAACATGTAAGTATTTTAAGTTCTTATAAAATTGCACCATATAAAATCCTGATTTTTGAACCTTTTTAACTTTATTTTTACTTCAGTGCAATAGAAAAGACATCCTATTCACAAATCATCTTGATATATCTGTAAGCAATTTGTAGTTGTTCTAACATTAGCTGATTTTTAAACAAGACTATAACAATACCTTATAATTTCTAAACTTGCTAAATTGTGGTTTTTATATTGTCTATAAAATGTCTAGCAAGTATTTCAGGATTTGGGGCTGTATTAAATTGTTGTCCTTATAGGAAGCAAAACACATTTTGACAGCTTATTTTAAACAAGCAGATGAGTATCAATGGAGTTACTTCTTTGTCTTGAAATTATGAAGCTCATTCCTCCTGATGCATCTTTCAGCAAGTAATAAAAACATTGAGATTCTCCAAGATAATAAATTCAATAATAAAGACATTAAAAAAAATTCTAGCAAAGATTTTAAACCCGAAATTTTAGTAGGAACTTCAAAACTGTTTAAAAATACCTGCTGAAATTCTGGTTTGACTTTCCTATTTTTTATTATCTTTATACTTCCATAAGATTTTCTTTTCCCATTTTATAATTTTCCTTTGAAATTCTTTTCTGCTCTGTTTCTTTCAGAGTAGAAATTTTATACAAGGAAAAATTAAGATAGGATAGGAAGAATTAAGGAAGAAAGAAGAGGAGAATGATGGCAAGACAATCTTTCCTAGATTGTGAAAGACTAGACAGCTGATATTTCTTAAAAAAATCAGCTTTCAAGGATCTTCACAATAAAAACTTTGTGTTTGTTCAATCTTATGACAGGATTTTATAAATTTAGTGGTAAACTGCCTTAGAAAACCCAATTTTTGTCTGTCTCTTCTGGGGCCCCAAAGACTTGGAAGAAAAAAAAGTCCTGATCCCTCACATGTACACAGGTTTTCTTGGAAAAAGTGTAAATTTTGGTATATTCCAGACAAAACCAGTTGTGATAGGAATGAAATAGATGTAAAGAAGAGTGGATACTTCTCTGTAAAGTGATCTGAATTGTACCTGGCAAGACTATACTAATTAGGGATAAACTATATTTGTCTAGCCTGATATACCCAGTTTTACTGAGCTGTTTGACAAAATTTAAGTACGTTATGGCCATTATGGGGGCACTTACGTTATGGCATTCTGGAGCCAGCCACCTTGGAGTGCCAGCTCTGTCCTTGGAGGTGTGCGTGTTCAACCTCATGTAATTTTAAGATAAAGAAGCAAGTAATTTTCCTATATCTTTTTTCTTTCTCCATTCTTCCTTTCTCAATTTTGAAATTGCTGTGTGTCTTCATGCCTGAGATCAGATTTAACCCTCTATTTGTTTGAATCGATTACTGGTTATCTTCACTTTTATGTCTCCACAGGAGGTAGAAAAAGTGTTAGACTGAACAAAGTATTGGATTGAACTGTAATGTGTTTTATGCTCTTCTGTAGGTCTGGCAGCTCCACTCAATGTACGAGAAGGTGACATTACTGACACTTCAATACAGATTACTTGGGATCGGGCTGATGGAGATTTTGAGCAATATGAAGTTATATGCACAAACTGTGCAAGTGCTTTCAGGGTATGTTTTTTAGAACACCACTTGTGTATAAGCAATGCAGTTATTTGTCAGTCTTCTATTAAGAAGAAGCTATATTCCCCATTAAAATAGTTGGATATACCATTTACATAAGATAAGAAAATTTTGAAAGCAATTTTGTGAAAGCTGTATTTGTATTTCTAGGTCCAGAAGGTTAAGCAAGAAACAGCAATGTTTTCCAACCTTAGTCCTGGTAAGCTGTACAATTTTGCAATTCGAACAGAGAAAGAGGGTTTCAGAGATAGTATTTTTGTGACAAAGGAAATAGACACAGGTGAGACCACAGTGTTGTCAACTCTAGTATTTGTTTTACTCCTTATATATGTCTTGCTTTCTTTCTGAATTTCCTTTTTGTCTCAGAGAAAAGTAATTCAACCATCTTCATAATTTTCTTAGAGATTTTTCTTATTTTCTTATAATTATTCACTTACTTTGTTATTTTTCTTATTCTTTGCCTGTAAGTGACTTTAAAGAATCTGAATATGGTTCCTGTGTATGATGAACTACCAATGTTGACTTCCTGTTGGCTCAACAAGCTGTACAGTCCAGTAACTGATACTTGCGCACAGTCTGGCTACCAGCACTATGGAAACCAAATTTTTTTTCTTAGACTTCTCTTTAATTCTTCATTTTTCACTTCAGTGCTGAGTTTGAGCATGCTTAAATGTTCAGAGCTAAATTAGTTTTATGATGTTTTCTCATTGGCCTCCGTGTATATCACAAGGAAATTTGGGCTTTTCTACATTTAGGACATTTGATTCTCAGCAGTGTAGTTCTCCTCTATTCTAATACTTCTAGCTGCTTGAACCTAAGAACATGGCTTCTCAAGCTGTTAGATCTGGCATGTTATGTTTTCCTCTAATCTAATGTGGAAAAATAAAGCATAGTAAATGTGATTGAAATGGTTCAACATCTGTGATCGAAGATACATAATGTGTTGCATTTAAGATACCAGACACCATGTAAAGTGTGATGTAAAATAATTTCTGAGAGGACAAGTCATGGAGAGGCAAATATGGAGCAAGTAAATGATAATTCACTGACATTTCCTTTTCAAGAACTAGGGACTTGAAACTAGAAGAGAGAAAGTAGAAAAAAA